GGTTGGTTACTCAAATGTCGATGTGTGGGTGGTTTTTTTTTTCAGTGGTCATAGATTCTTGTTGCTGTCACATTTGTAAAGGATATTTCCATTTGCAAGAAAGGTATTTCTTTTAATTTCTTAAAATTGAAATATGCTATCAGGTTATTCCAGAACCTAGCGAAGCAAATGGTGGAAAATTGCTTGTTGACTACAATAACAAATACAAATCAATGTGGATTCGGACATACTCAACTGTCTGGATGATTGGGGGTTTTGCATTAACCGTCTACATGGGTCATCTCTATATTACTGCTATGGTGATGGTTATCCAAATATTTATGGCAAAAGAGTTATTCAATCTACTCAGGAAAGCAAATGAAGATACGCATCTTCCAGGTTTTAGGCTGTTAAATTGGTTAGAATACTACCTTTTCTTTCAATGTCCTCCAAGATTTTTCATTCCTTAAAAGAATCTTACTAGCATCTTTTTTTCACTTCATTATAATGTATTTAGCTTTGCTTTTATGGGCACAGGCACTTCTTCCTCACTGCAATGTTGTTTGTATATGGTCGCCTACTCAATCAACCACTTGTCAATACCGTAACTTCAGATAAATTTTTGTATCAGTTTGTCAGCAGCCTTATCAAGTATCATATGGCTATTTGTTACTTCTCGTACATTGCAGGTTGGTTAAGCATATATTTTATGTTTTCAACTGAAAGCATGGAGGATTAATCATGTCAAGCATTCATCAATTAATATCTTAAATTTCTCTTTGGAACAAAGTGGGACTGGATGTTCTTTCCTGTGAATATCTTTATTGTTTTCTTATATGTTAGATGGTTTCTTAACTGTTATATGGTGATTGCACCTTTAAATTCTCTTCTTTTTCATATAAAATAACCTATATAACCATTTATATCGTTATATTTTTTGTTTTCGTTTCTTGGGATCAGGTTTTATATGGTTTATTCTTACATTGAAGAAGAAGATGTACAAGTATCAGTTTGGCCAGTATGCATGGACACATATGATTCTTATTGTGGTGTTCACGCAGTCATCCTTTACTGTGGCCAATATCTTCGAAGGAATATTCTGGTAAAACTTTTCTTTCTCAATCACCATTTTACTTAGATGTGCAAATATATATGTAATCATTCAAAATGAAATAAAGCAGAAAAGATCCATGTTCTTTAATTTTTAATATATTCAATGTTGTCGGTACTTTCACTTTCTTGCTCTCTCTAATCTTCTTATTTTTCCAGGTTTCTTCTTCCAGCATCGCTTATCATTATCAATGACATTTTTGCTTACATATTTGGTTTCTTCTTTGGAAGAACCCCGTTAATCAAATTATCTCCAAAGAAAACATGGGAGGGGTTTATAGGAGCGTCTGTCACAACTATAATCTCGGCATTTGTGGTGAGCTTTGTTTTTCTTTTATGGAGTTGACTTCATCTTGTTTGTAGTTAGGGTTTCATTCATCATCCAATTTTACATCACACTAGTAACACATGTCGGAGAATGCAACAATCCAGGTCTCTATATAAATATTCGTGTTCAGCATCCTTTTAACTGTTCATTTTTAAAGTTCCAGGATTAGTGAAATGACATGTACTCTTAGCAATAAACCTGTGAAAATTCATCCTAATCCTGTAATCGAAAGATCTAATTTTAATGCCTTAATTACTAATCCTCTTTGCTCATTGTGCTCTTATAACAGGAACCCACGAACCTTTAATGAAACAAGAAAGCTTTGTTATTTGCCTTTCATTTTTGTTAGATTTTCATCCCAGTATGCCTGCATTAACATGGAGTGAGTTTTTGCATATGCAGCTTGCGAATATCTTGGGTCGTTTCGAGTGGCTAACCTGTCCCAGGAAGGTAATTACTGTATTCAACCTATTATCCTTTGATCCTTTAAGAAGTATGCATGTTTCTTTTTCAGAAAATTTAGGATGTTAGGGTAATGATTGCAGGATTTATCAACTGGTTGGCTTCTTCAATTTCCATTAGTTTGAATGGTTGTCACCTCAGCTCAAAGTACTCGGATCTCTTTAGGTCCCATTGTCAAACTTGAAGGCCAGGAACTTTGTTATGGATAGGTTTAAAAGTCAACTGTGTCATTAAGGTGTGAATGTAAATTTTCCAGTTACAATGCTCCATCACTTGCAGTTTACTTGGAAAGAGATCTCTATTTTGCCGGTGCAATGGCATGCTTTATGCCTCGGTTTGTTTGCATCAATTATAGCACCGTTCGGGGGCTTTTTTGCTAGTGGTTTTAAAAGAGCTTTCAAGATCAAGGTACAAACTTCTTTCATATTTCATTTTCAGATTTCGGCATAGCTTTCCTTTGATACCAAATAAAGTATCAAATGTTAACTCCGCTATGAATATTGTGACAGGATTTTGGTGATAGTATACCGGGACATGGTGGAATTACAGATAGAATGGATTGCCAGGTGAGAAAATTGAGACTTTTTATCCTTCGTTCAATGTTTAAGCCTTTAAAACTAAGTTTTCACCACATTTTTTATACGCACTTTTCTCAACTCGAGCTTTTTCCAACAGCAATGTTAAACTAGCCCCGAGTTAAAAGATTTTGTATTTTGGCTGTAACGAACTGAGATTCGTTCATCTAAATCATAATGTAGATGGTGATGGCGGTATTTGCATATATCTATCTCCAGTCATTTGTTGTACGTGAGGGCATCTCAGTTGATATGATCTTGGACCAGGTAAAAATCTTCATGCGGTTTTCTTGTTTTCACTTTGGTCCTTCCATATTAGTACTGCTACACTCTAAATCGTTTGGACTTTTCATTTTTCTTAAAGCACCCATGTTTGAAACTTGTATCAAACACGTGGATGTAGGGATATGACATATAAGGATCATCCGAATATTTGAAAAAATTTAGAGCAGTTTGATGATACATGTATCCGACACTTACACCTGAGTTTGAGTGATACAGGTCACAACTAGTATAAGCATAGATACATGGCGTTCGTTGCCATGCAGATGTTAACAAACCAAGTACATGAAAAATCTTTAAAAAGTCTAGTCATACCTAGGCTCGACACTTACACCCAAGTCCAAGTAACATATGCTACAACAAGTATAAAGCATAGATAAGTTGTACGTGATATTTGTTGCCATGCATATATCAACAAATTAAATACAGGAAAAATCCCAGAAAAGCCTGTCCGTATCCGTATCTGCTACTCACACCTAAGTTCAAATAATATAGACTACCAGTAGTATAAGCGTAGATAGGTCATACATGCTGTTTGTACGCAGATAATTACAAAACCAAAGACATGAAAAATACTAGATAAGTCTACCCATCCACATATCTGACACTCATACCCGAGGCGTAGATAGTTATACATGGTGTTTGTTGCTATGCAGATAATGGCAAGCCTTAGTTTGGAGGAACAACAAATTCTTGTGATGAAGCTTGGGCAGATCTTGCAGGAAAGAGTTGGATAATTTTAAAATGTGATTGGCTTATGATCATGTGTGTGTGCAAATTACAGTGGCTCTTCCTTTCCCCAACCTGTATTATCTTATAACAACAGACAATGATGCTTCTGTACACGGTGTTGTGTCATATTCATATTTTTAGGAAAAGAGGTATAGTTTCTCAGCTCGCTCTGTACATTCAGTTTATGTTAGTTCAATTATGGTCAATTACTTTAACTAATGTATCTGAAACGTGATTTTTTACTAGTGTCGCTTTTGTTTTTGGTCTTTCTAATTTTTTTTTTGTTTAATGGCTCTTTTTTCCTTATATTTTATACTAATTATCAGTTTGACCCCTGTATTATTATTTTTTCTTCAGTTTGTCCTTTATACTATTATCCTATCTAAAGCTTCGCCCCATTACCATAATGGTTTAAAAAATATGACATGGCCTAATTAGAACATGCCATGTAATAAAAACATTAAATGATCTTTAAAAAGAAAACTATTTAAATATTAAAGAATCCTTAAATTTATTCAAAAATTTAAAAAAAATTAAAAACTCAATTTTTTAGAAGTTTAGGAAAATTTCAATTTCTTTTAAATGTTAAAAGTAAATTAAACATATAATTGTAATATTTAGATTATTTTTTAATAGTATATTATAAAATAGCATTTGTTTAATTTTTTTAGTCACTAATAACACACAGATCTTGTAGATGTATTTATTCAAATTGGCAATTTTTTAGGGAAAATAATATCATTTTAAACCTCTAAAATCGGTTAATAAATCCTTTTTAGAAATCTTTAAAATATACTGAACATGTAAAAAAAATGTGGATGGGGAAGAAGTAAATAGTCTATTACAAAGCTGGTTCACAATCTTAATAAACATATATGTTCAGAATGCAAGAATTTGGATATTAATTGTGACGTATTAATTATTTTAAAAATTTGGTAAAAAAATCGCATGGATTAATATATTTTATAATTTACTTCTCTCATAGAAAATATACACGTGTACAACAATACACGTGGCGCAATATTCTTAAATGGGCACATGTGGGGACGGGATTTCTACTAAAGTGGCTACCAAAAATAAAGTAAAATAAAACCCTAGTTTTTAGTAATTACACCAAGTTAGGATGTGCAATTTTTTATTATAAAAAATATAAAATTATTTTAAAAAATTAAATTTAGTTTATTTATAAATGATCTGAATTTAAATTTATACTAATTATTTATATAAATTTAAATACAAATTCATTAAAGATAATGTGACCTAAATATTCTTTGAAATAAACATATTCTCTATTGTTATACTCTCAAATTAAATTTAAATCAACAAATTTACATTAACGTATATAATATAAATTTAAATAATAGACATCTAAAAATATATAAGGATTTTTAAAGTGTACGAATCCAAAAATAAATAAATTAATAATTATAAATATTCAAATTCCGAATTAGTTATTTCATTTTATACTTTAATATAAATAACACCCAACACCGTGCACATTTCGTTATACAAAATTACAAACAAAAAAGCAGCCAATAGTCTCTACACACTCTTTTTCTCCCTTAATCCTTTCTCTCTCGCCTTTTTCTATCCACCATGACGGCCAAGGACAAGGATTGCGGCAACCACGGGAAAGGCCGCCGGAGACTGATCCGAAGTATCATCGCTTGCCTCCTAGTCTTTCTCCTCATCGTTCTCATCACAATCCTAATCATATGGGCCGTCCTCCGCCCCACCAAACCCCGGTTCCTCCTCCAAGACACCACCGTTTACGGCTTCAACGCCTCCACCTCGAATTTCCTCACCTCCAATTTCCAAGTCACCGTATCGTCTCGAAACCCGAATGACCGAATCGGTATCTACTACGACAGGCTCGTCATCTACGCCACTTACAGGAACCAACAAATCACCCTTCGGACATCACTCCCTCCGACAAACCAGGGTCATAACGAAGTCAGTGTCTGGTCTCCTTTCGTGTACGGCAACATGGTCCCTATAGCTCCCGATTTCTCGGCGGCTTTGAAGTACGAACAAGCTGCCGGCTCGGTTTACGTGGTGATCAAGATTGATGGACGGGTGAGATGGAAGGTTGGGACCTTCGTTTCGGGAAGATATCATCTTAACGTCCGATGTCCGGCTCGTATTACTTTCGGGAGAAAAAGTAAAGGAGTTTCCGTCGGAGAAAACGCTGTTAAGTATCAGCTCGTCACCCGGTGCAGCGTTACTGTGTGAAGACCGATCAAGACGATGAAGAAGAACAGGCAACTAACACCGTCAAATGTATCCTTTTTAGTATATTTATTTATTTATTTTTCCTGATAAGAGAATGGAAATTGTAGATTTTGCTAAAGAATAAATTAACAAAATAAGAATTAATTTTCGATGGATTGATATTGAACAATTAGTGGAGGTGCGGTCTATTTTAAATGAACTTATAAGTGAGTAATTAAGAAGAATTTTCTATTTTTTAGACTTTAAGTTTAAATAATTGTGTATGTGATATGTGTTGTTAATAAATGATAAATATTATGAATAGATATTATCTTATAATTATCTCAAATTATTTCAAAAAATTAGTTAATAAATAATCATTAAAATTTTACCTAAATGTTGTAAAATTATTATTATATATTATAAAATAATGATGATTTTTTATATGTTTAAACATAATTTTATAATAGTTTAATGTGTTTTATTGTTTATTTTGTATTAGTTTGATAAGATTTAATAATTATTTTATAATAGTATAAAATGATTATAAGGTAATATTTTTTTAATTTTTTAAAAATCATTGATAATATCAATATATTCGACAAACGTAACTGTTTGAATCCAAGAGACCTCTAGGAAAAACAACACTCTTCTTAATCACTAAGATCACTCAATTAATTCAGATTATGCATGTCCATTATGAGATATTTCTATTCGCAACAATAAGATTTAAGCTTCTTACTTTAAAGGAGGTAGCATCATATTCTACTAAAACAATAGATATTTAATTATGTAGGTTTTATTTATTAATATATCTTTTTATATTTTTAGAAAAATCATTTTATAGGTTTTAAAAAATAAAAGTTAATTAATTGAACAAAAGTCTAGAAATAATTTAGCCCATCAATTAATTAAGGTAGTGGGTGGTTGTAGAACACAAGTGGCCTAACATCTGAATAGACAAGAAACAAGATAAGGATGCGTTGAAGCCGTCGGATTTGTTGTATGCCACACATATGCATTTACTCTTTTTCCTTTTCTACTCTATAGTTGTACCTATAAACTTAGTGATGAAACGAGGGTGTTTAAAAAGCTCAATATTTCTTTTTTGGAGTTTTATATTTATATTTATATTTATATTTATTAAGTTTTAAATATACAAAAAGTGTCCAATATATGTTCGTTTTTCTAGTTTAATATTTAATGTTTATTTCGTTTTAGTGTGGTGCCTAACGTTTCATTCTGTTATTCAAAATGGGTCAAGCCATGATAGACCGTTAATTTCTTCCATTAAATGACACGTGTCATAATCTGATAATTTTAAATTTTTTATATAAAATTAAAAAATAAAATTATATATTTTTAAAAAAGAAAACACATAAATTTTGAAATAAACCCAAAACTTTGAAAACTTTTATTTCAACCCCTAAACCTACACCGCCCGCCACCCTTTGCCGTCGACGAAGCTCCATCCTATCTCACCTCCCCCCCGATGACCAAACTCTTTATGAAATCGTGACTGATCAACGGTCGATCGACCGTGAATCTACGTTTTATACCCCACGAACCCTAGGATAAAAATCGCAATCCCAAGCGATTTTGACGGCCAATTGACGACAACTACGGTGACTTATAACTATGATGATGACAAGGACTACGTCGACGGTGATGGTCATGGACGGAAAGGGCGGCGGCGGTGGCGGGTTAGTGTTAGGATTTGAGGATTTTATAGATTTTGAGGCTTTTTTGTAATTTAAAACAAATAAGGGTTTTTAATATAATAATATTTTAATATATTTTTTAAAAAAAAATCAAAAATTACAAGATTGTGACACGTGTCACTTAACGGATAAAACTAATGGTCCGTCACGGCTTGACCCATTTTAAATAACGGAATGAAACGTTAGGCACTAAACTGAAACGAAATAAACGTTAGGCACTAAACTGAAAAAACGGACATATATTATGTACCTTTTGTATATTTAAACCTTTTATTGATAATTTAATTTAGTATATTTAAAACTTTAATATATATATTTTTAAAAAAGTTTACACCCTCAATGTAAAATCTAAAATTATGTTTATATAGATTACTAAGAAAGAGTTAAGTTTGAATAGATGAGAATGTATAACATCAATAATATATTTGGTTTTATAGATAACATAAGTAATAATCACAATATAATGAAAAATAGTATATAGGTTTATATGAAAAATTTTGAAATAAGAAAATCTACCAATGTGTAACATATTTCATTATAATTGACATTACATTATAAGAGATTTATATGAAATCACATTAAAAAAATTATCAAATAGATCGTATTATGAAAATTATAAATTAACTTAAATAAAATTTGAATTATAAACTTTAATATTTAAAAATCAATAATAGCTTTGGAGCTGTTCACAAATGGAATTGAAATTATGGTCCACTTTAGTTTTCACTCGACCTAATAATAACGGCGTGTTAGATCCTTACTTTAATTTAATCAAAATTTCAGTCCCACCAAAGCATGTTTATGATTATACTATTATACAAGGTATGATATGGTATATTAATTTTAAAAAAATAAAAGATCACTAATATTTGAGTAATTTTTAATTTTTCCTACTGAAGTTTTAAACCTAACAAATTGGTCACTAATATTTTGATTTGTAACCAATTGATCATTAATTTTATCAATTTGTAACAAATTGGTCACTTGATGTTAACAATCGTTAACTTGGGTGATAGAATGCTGATATGACATGTTAAACGGTTTTACCACACAAGCCATCCATCTTTTGATTCTCCTACACCGTGGCAACACAGTTGCAAAATTCATTTGATTAACATGCCATATAAGCATATCGTCACTCAAGTTAACAGCTATTAATGTTAGTGATTGATTTGTTACAAATTGATAACGTTAGTGACCAATTTTTTATTTTAAAACTTTAGTGGGTAAACCAAGAACTTACTCAAATATTAGTGACCATTTGTGTAGTTTACCCAAAATAAAATTAAATGGTAAACTATAAGGATGGTCCTTCATGTTTTTGGTCCATTTGATTTTGGTCATAAAATTTGTTTTAGTCCCTTGCTTTATCATTCCGTTTAATTTTGGTCCCTAACTATTAACTTCCATTAATCCATTAACGAAATTATGAGTTAACAATTAAAAATTAAAAATAATCCAAGTGTCTTCTTCCTCTTCCTCTTCCTCTTCCTCCTCATTATTCGTTTATATAGAGCTCTCATGTATTAATTATTTAGGTTGTATATTTAACATCGAGAGGCATTGAACCACATTATGCATAGACATTTGTTTTACTTGGTCAATCTGATTGCTGTAGATGAAGGGTTTATGTATTTTTGTTTCTGATTAGCTGCTTTAGATTGTGCTATGACTTTATTATACGTATACTGATTCAACTCTCACTATAGGCAGGAACTGACATTAGCAAGGAAGAGAAAATACAGCTTGGGGTGTTTCTCTGATGGCTGGGTACCAATCTCTCCATAAAATAAAAGATGATTGTTGATCCTTTGTGTAATAGGATCTTCGAAGTGATATGATAGGTCTAAATTCTTGATTGCTGCATCGATTGCACTTGTATTAGTGAAAAAAACTGCTCTCATTTATGGGCTCAAATATTTTTCTAGTCTCAAGTCTCAACTCATCTAGCGCTGCTACTATGAATGCTTTTGAGTTTTAAATGCTTATTTCTACGTTTAAAAGGTTTCATGGTTTCACAAGCCAAATGATTCAAAGGTTTAACAGATAAATTATTTAAAAAATTCTTTACTGGTTTTAAATGCTCATTTATACGTTTAACAGGTTTCATAATAACTTTAAATAATTTAAACAAGCGAATTTTCTAAAATATGTATTTAAAACTTATTTAATTAAAAAAATTAAAATATTTTTTGTATATTTTTATTAATAATAAAATTTAAATAATAATAAATTAAAGTTAAAGAAAATTAAATAATGAAAAATGGATAAATGACATATTTAAGATTTAAGATTTTAAGGGAGTATATACATTCCATTTTGATATCGATTGTAACTTTGTCATGGCATTGGTCGGATATGCATATACAACTCATTTTACATTTCCATGAATAAATAGAATTAGTTTTAAATATTTCTTCATTTTAAATTTTTTGATGCCGATTTTATCATATATTTATTTCTTATAATTATTTAGTTTCAATAATGAAACCTAAGTCCCGGCGATGCATTAACGCAAACACTTTCTGGGCAAAAAAGTGTCAAACTCGGCAACAAGAACTTAAATATTTCTCAGAAATCCAATGAGTTATAGTCACCGATAGACGCAAAACTGCAGATAATCAAAGCAGTCTGCCTGGAAAGTGACCAAAGTTTCGCTGTTAGAGAAGGGTCTCTTGAAATAGCTAAATCCTATGCTATTCCCTCTTCTCTCCCCTTCTCAAAATCCACAAAAAAAAAAGAGAGAAAAAATCAATAAAATATAAATTTGAAATGTGTGAAGTTCGGTAAGCAGATTATTCGACGGAGAACGATAACCGGCCAGTTAACTTCACAGCCGATTTGATTTAAATATAGCTACAGCCGCATTGGCAAGACAAGATCGAGGGCACTGTTTTGATTCAAGCCCTTTACCTTGGTACATGTAGCTTCAGTGATCTTCGTGGTTTCTGTTCTTTAAACAGAGAAATTATATTATAAAAGCGCAGACTTTTACATGCGAAAGCTGTGCATCGCGAGAGAAACTGATAACGAAGAGATATAAAGAGAACGGCCGCTACTGCCTTTTGTAAAACCCTGGATGCTGAGATGTGTATTGTTATGTTTATATAGGGAAAAGCTAAACGCGAGTGGGGATTCGGAATGGAGGTGGAGATATCTCAGCCGTATATCTATAGGGTATGATGATGTAATTTGCTTTTGGTCAAGTTGACCCAATTTATCCTTTAAAGCGATTTAACTAAATATTTGTATTGATATTATATTATTTTTAAAATATTATTTGACATATTAATTAAGATAAAATAATATATTGAATATCACTCAACTTTAAGGTTTTTTATTTATTAAGCGCATGTTATTATAAATTAATTTTTGTTTGAAATACTCTAAAATATCTGACAATAAACATTTGATCATAATTACAGTCGTTAGTGTTTGAACCTATGACCTCAAGAAACAACAACGATTCTTTTAACCACTAAAGTAAGTTGGTTCGTGCACTCAACTTTAAGTTTTCTATCCTTGTTATATTGAATTTTAAATTGCTTTAATTTTAGTATTAAATTTAAATTAAAGTTTAATTAAAATATTATATTGAAAGAATGCATCTTCTCTTTTAAATTTTCAAACAAACTCATCCAAAAACCTTAAATTTGAGGAAGCTTCTAAACGCTCAAAATAATAAAATTTTTATGATTACTTTGGTGAGATTTTAGAAAAATCTAAATTAATAAAATGATTTAGGCGAGTTGTGTAGTAATTAATGTGGTCGCAGAGACATTAAAAGTTGACAATTTTTCAGAACGACTAAAAAAATAAGTAAAAGAAACAATTTTTTTATGAAGAAGATGAAGAGCAAAAATTAACGAGTTCCCTAATTAAAGCCTCCTCGAGGAGGGTTTGGAGGGATAACGTTCCTTTTTTTAAAGCCTCTCCGAGGGAGGTTTGAAGGGGTAAAGTTTATTTTTTCTTCTAGCTTTTCGCTTGCGCAAAAAACAAGAAAGAAATTTAAATGGAATTTTGTTTTTCGTCTGTAACATATCATTTGTTGTATCTCGTATGGAACTATCTTCTTCACCTTTGAACTTGAAACAAACTTCATTGTTTAGATTGGAACGTTCTAAAATTCAATAATAAAATCAATACACAACATAAAGTTCAATGATATTTGATATCATTTGTCCTCTTAGTTATATTAATAATATGTTAGAGCTTAATTCGAATAGTTTTCAAATTCATATATTCTAGTTCGATATTAGATATTGAACTTATTATAAAAATATTTTAACAACAATATTTTAAATAATTTTGTATTTTTATTGATCAAATATTGTAATTTTATATTTCGACGATATCGAATTCATTAAGTGGTCTAAGTGGTTAAAAAGAGTGTTGTTATTCCTTGAAATCCTAAATTCAAATAACCGTATTTATAAAGTGGATGTACATTATCAATAATTAAAAAAATTATGAATATATTATATATTATAATGATCCCAAACTATTAAAAAATAACTTTAATAATACTATTCCTAGTAAAATTAGCGATGCATTTATGGGTTCTAATATTGCAAGCCGAAGCCTGACTCCGACCCGAACCTTAGAAACATAAAGGCACAAAGGAAACCAATCCACTTGTCCCCTTTGTGGGAAAGAGAGAAATCCACACGAAAGATAGAAACAAAGAAAATTATGTTTAACAATAGAACCGAGTCACAGCGAATTCGAAACCGATCTGACGCAAACGAATCAATGGAAGGAGTGGGGGCTCGATTCGGGCGATCCTCTACTCGGTACGGACCCGCCACGGTGTTCACTGGACCGGTCAGGAAATGGAAGAAGAAATGGGTCCACGTTTCCCCCTCTAACACCGGCAGCAGCAACACCAGTAATCACTCTTCCAATAATAATAATACTAATAATCACCACAGCCCCAACGGTACTTCTAACGGTAAAAACGTCTCTCATCTCCTCCTTTTTAAATGGACCCCTTTATCACAAAGCCAAAACAACACCAGTAGCAACAACGATTCTTCCAAGGACGATGATGTGGCGGCGCCCCAGGAGCCTCCGAGGCGGAAATTTAAATACATTCCGGTATTCTCTTCCTTGGGTTTTCATCAATTTTGAATTTTGCTTCTCTTTTTTTACTTTGTTTTTTGGAGAATTGAGTTTTCTGGCTGAGAATTAGGATTTGATTTGTCTGTCTTTTGTACAGTTGGTTGATCTGTTAGCTGCTTTTAAGGTTGTGGAAAACAATTTGCAAATGGTTTTTTAGGGAATGTTTTTGATCAATGATTGATAATTTAGAAGATGAATGTTTCTCGCGTAAATTGTTGTTCACTACTATGTTACTCGGACTCCGGTGTGAGTGTTAAAATTATGGTATGTATATGTACACGGGTTTAGATTTTTCCAAGTTTTTCCATATGCATACGTCTGACAGAGTATTTTAAGAAGAAAATGATTAGTCCGAGCAGCATAGGTTCACTACATTTCGGCATGGCCTTGATGCATTGGATTCTCCGTTTCTGCTTCACTATTGTTAGTTTTATAATTTAGTAAAAATCTGTTCCTAAAACCATAGCTTGCTTCTCAACTGCACTGCTAATATGAAAATTATGCATAAGGTTACAAATTGAGCTGCTCGTTATCCTCATGCACATAGAGAGTCCAAGTCCGAGTTATGGAAAGCTTTTGAAACCAACAATATGTTAGTTGCTATAAGAGGACCAAGAATAGTATCTGATTTTTGTTTTCTGGCTTATCGAACTCTAGTGACACCCTATGTAGTTGCTATAAGATGAGCACAGTCGTGGTATTGCTTAGACGTATCTGATCCAATCTAGAATGTGAAATTATAGTAGCATGATACATGGCATGTGAAAATGTTATTGACAGCCAAACCCACACCGCATGCATTTACACCAAATACCTTCAAAGTTCACATTGTACAATTTGTTGTTTGGGCTGTATTTGTATTGCTTGCATGAGCATGATGCATAATGTTTTTATCTTTGTTCATAACAAACACTGAGAACGGGTGCTTTCTGGTAATTGTAGTTCGAATAGACTAACATTCACAGGTTTGTAAGACTGCTTTGTATAACCATTCCAGGTGGAAATGAGCTCTAATATCAGTTCAGATTGTTAGGTCTTATGATTATTTTGACTGCTTGAACATGCAGATTGCTGTGCTAGAAGAACAGAAAAATGAAGCTGCTGAAAACATTGACGATGAAGCTAAACCGAGGGAGGATGACCCTAGTGCTGCAGAGCCAGCTTCCAGGAATGATGGTTTTGACGAAAAACCTGACATCAATGACGCACCTATGGACGAAAGTCAGGTGAGCGGCAAACTGTCATTCTAGATACTTTCATAGATGACCGACTTCATTGAGAAACTAGTACATAAAACATAAATGATAAATGGCATTCATTGCGCTGACTTATAGAGAGTGTTGATGAAACTGAATCCAATTTGACTTTTGTAGCACTATTTTCATTTGTTATGATTAGTCTCACAACAATGACTGAATATTTTTCCTTTTGAGTCTAATGGCTCAACTCCAATTCTGTATCTCAGGAGGATACTAAAATAGTGCGGCAAGATCTGAACGAAAGCGCTTTGGATTTGAGTTTGGGTTGAATGGAACATATGGTGAGTCTAGTTCGAAAACAGATCGCAATGGACAGTTGGAAAGAGTGATATCGAGTAGCGGCTTGCGTGTCGTTTCAGCAAATAGATGGAGATGATAACTAGACATTAGCCTCCTCATTTACAGACTTTTCTTGAGATTCAATTTTCCCTTCGGCCTTCCAACTTGCAGTCCTTTGTCTTTAAGTTAGAGAACATTGAAATGGCTTGTCTTTCTACTTTTAGTTCCACACTGCATTTGTGAGCTGATTGCAACTTGTATTGATTGAGAACAGAATATACTGTTTGTTGTTTCCCCTGTGGACCTGCAGATATTTTATCAAATTACAAATTCCAACAACAGATCATTGCTTGAATAATTCAATTCCTCAGTACATTAATCAACGGTAAAACAAGAAGGCAAGATGACTGATATTGCCCAAGGAAACAGAGGACTTTGAAAGATTTGGTCATAATTCGTTTACATTAGCCGGCTCTGCCTTCGCCTTTGAAAGGAAATCATGTCTGAACATAGAGAAAAAAACATATAAATTGTGCATAAGAGAGCAACCTTGTGAAATAAATGGCAATAACAAGCAAGAACAGGAGAAAATATCATGGAAACAAAGCTAAAGAAACCCATCGTTTTACATATAAAGGCAAGTAGGTTCAGTTTTTTAGCAGACATCAGCTTCAAGTTGGAAGAGAACATATTATTTAGCCAGACATATTAAAACAAACATTAAATAAATGATTGAAATACTAAATATCTCTTTGCTTGCGCGGCCAATAGATTCGAAACATGTTGCAGAAGTTCAAACAAGGAGAGGGAAACAAATATCATCCGTTGCGTTGACTTACTGTACTTTTCGAGCTAGTTGTTATAAGCCTGTTCCAGCCATAAGCCCATAACAATGTTTACACTAAAGAGGTTCCAGTGTTTCTGCATTTTGAAATCACAGAATGACTTCGAATCAGAAACAAACCAAACCAAATCTACACAGCACAAAATCTAGGTCCGAATGTACATGTACGCAGTCCATTGTTCATATATTTCTCTTTGATAATGTTGAATTTCCGGAACTTTTAGAAGAAAGGTTGTCCAAGTAAGAATCATCAAACTTACAGGAGTGATTACATTGCTGTAGCGTGACCAGATAACTTCGGTGCAAGTAACCGCTGGGTACCAGAAAATAACACTCAGAAAACTAGAAGAGGAATGTAGCAGAGAAACTGTTAAAATGAGACGCAACAGATCGAACAACTGTTGAATGTATATATATAAAGAAACTACTACGAGAATCAAATAAGAGGCGGTAAGGCATTTGCAACACGAATAGAGTTACAATAAAGCTCGATGAGCATTACATACCTATTTGCTGAGGTAGGAAAGATTTTCTGGTGGCTTGGTGAAGTCAGCTACATTGGCTATGCTAATGCCCCATTTAAAGGTTGGAGCTCAAAAGTGAACTGATGAAAGAAACAAAAAGCCATTAGCTTATGTATGCTTTAAGAATTGATACTCGGAATCGAGCGAAAATCGATTATTTCAGCCTATTGTACTATTGATAGAGGGCTATCAGAAGCTCATAAAGAACTCACATCCACAATCAATTCTGTAATCTAAATGACAATCGCAGTTGCAACCATTCTTCACTCTCAATCATGTAAAATGTTGAATCCTATACTCATATTAAAAGGTCATGGACCAATAAAGAGAAACCCAAATCATCTACATCCAACATTAACTCATACAAAGCATGGATCTTGTCACTGAAAATTGATTCATTCGAAAAGAGGAAAAAGAAGAAGAAGAGAGATTCTGATTTCTTTAATTAATGGCAAAATGAGAGTAAAGGGTCCATTAATACAGACAGTTGATATGTAATTATCATCGGTATAAGAGTACATACGAGTCAACTCACTGGTTTTAGGGCCAGCTGGGTGATTCCATAGAGCTTGGAGGACGCCATGGACTCAACACTTTCACTATTCTTTCCTGAATGTTTGGTGTTTAACAGAAAAAAAATGGGATATTTGGTTGAGTCAGCAAATCTTGGTTGGTAGCTTATATGTGCTTCACGTGTTAGTTCGTTCTCCGAAGGCTAGCCCTAGCCAAAAGTATGTATCTTGTCAACTAAAGTAACAAAATATTACATAAATCAAAGTCTTTCTGTCATCTAGTTTAGATCCGAGTTATCACTTTAATGTCGATGGTTAATTGACAAAATGATCTTATTGATACGGACTCGGTTATAATATTTAAAGTTTGAGACCAATTTAGAATTAACGCAATAGTTTTAGAACTTCTAGTAGAATTATCCCATGGTCGCCGCGAGATTTATTTTGGAATTACGATTCTGAGAGGTGATTGAATTCAGTTTTGCTGTAATTGAAGAAGCAGTGATAGTTCCATGGATTCTCCCACTCAAAACACTTCCTTGCAGCGACTTCAAAATGTTGAGAAGGTACTTGATTAATTTCCACCCTTCGACTTCTTCAACGAAAAACTGCATTTTTCTTAGAGAAATTAGCTTCTTTTTTGTTGGTTTTTTGCTTTGACGCAGAGAATAGTTAGGGTTTTGGAGTTGGCGGGAGGTGTCATGGATGAACTCGCCACTCCAACAGGCCCAAGGAAAGAATTCATCAACAACCATTGCCGTGAATTCATGAAGATGATCAAGGTTTCTCCTTTCCTCCTATAGATCAATTTTTTAGCTTCATTGTGGTGTGTATCCGTTCTTCAGCTTGAATTGCCTGATAAACTTTAAGTTAGGGTTTAACTCGTTAATTTGGAACATTTGGATTGAATCGGAGCATTAATTGTAGTATTTAAGCATTAAATTTTCCTGTTTTGAAAAAAAAAGGACATCCAAATGACATTGAGGGATGAAATCAAGAGTGCTTGTGAGTATCGCCCCTTTGAGAAGTGCGATTACAGTTCGAGAATTTCAAACGAGATCTGTTGCAAGAAACTCAAATACATTCTCTCTCAGCTGGATTCGATGGAACAAACCATTGATGGATATCAAGCTACCATTTAAAGATAGATAGACTGTTTAATAGCCAGATAAGGTTAGTACCATCAATGCTTGCTTGAAAATTTTTCTTATTGGAACAGCAAGGCAAAGCCTGAATACTCTAATGTAATGCTTTCTCTTTCGTTTTAAAAAATTACACCCTTTGCTGGGATTTGCTTCTACATATTTGTATTTTCGTATTTTTTTATTGTACTAGGAATCAAATCGTTTCTCTCTGTTAACTTTGGTTACCTCAGTTCGTTTCTTAATTTGGAGGCTGTAATGAGCTTGTGCTACAGGTTCTTTTTCTTAAAACCATTCTGTTTGTTTGGGGTTTCACTATGAATGAAAGTGGAACCTTTAAAGCCACCCTGCTTAGATTGCCGAGATTCCGTGCATAGTTTGCTAACTGGTATGGTAACTCAGTGCTAACATATAAGTTAGCTCTGCACGTATAACACCCCAGTTAGTAATATAAACTTACTGATCTTTTTTTCATTTTTCCAATTTGAAGCAAAATAGAATCTGTTAAGTGATGTTAGTATGCTTGATTTGTCAATCAATTTTAGAGCACTAAAATTGGGAGAAACATAAGATAGAACCTTTCCTCTTGGGGCTGGCATTTGCTTACTGTCAGGAACTTTCCTGCAAATAAAATCTAGAAACCAACAGCAGAATATCAGAGAAGAAGAAGAAGAGATCAGACTGAGAGTTTGTTATATTTTCGATACCCCGTACCAAACATTTATTACATTATATATATCCTCCTTTACCTGCTGTAGAAATTACAAATAGAGCCCTCTAAGACCCTTGGTGGTTTTCTCATGTCATGCGTGACCCACTACGCACGTGATGTATTGATTGTAGCGGGTTTGTCTCCTGAGATCCTTGGTGTATAACAGATACATGTTAAGTAAGATTATAAATTGAGATAAATGTGATGATTCAATCATAAACCCTGTCTTTGTTTAACCATTGCGTTATTAGTATTATCATTAGTATTAGTCAGCAATGTGTCTGTGTGTATAATACATCAAATCAAGAGTGGTGTCTTAGGAAAGTGCATCTCCCCTCTTTGGTTTTTGGCTATAGCATAGCCTTTGGAGCTGTCCTTTTTTCGGAAAGAAAAATCAAATTTCATTGATATGAATAGCTTTACAGACTGAGAAAGGAGGCTAGCAACTAGCAAGGCCCACCCAGTACAAAGGAACCAAAGCCATTAAAAATATCGTGGAAAAAACTGTATGGCCACCCGACTTAAATTTAAGCCATGTCGACTGAAAACAAGGGTGAAGGTAATATTGTCGGTAGCAAAGTCTCCAGGATTTCATAGCCTACATAGTGTGGCAACAGCCACCAGATCGAAAGTCTCAATGTGGAACAATGAGACTTGTAGCAGACCAAGCAACCCGTGGAACCATCGCACCTTGTGACTCATATTAATGTTCCCGGTGTCGGCCAGCCGCAACAAAAAATAAACATTAATCCATAGGTAAGATGTACGTCTATGTATATGTCCCATCAATGGCATGCATGTGAATGAAGGGTTCTTATCTTAATTTTACTTTATTATTGAATTGCATGCATGTGATATCTTTACTTCTCTATTTTTCTTATATTTTCCAACGATTTCCAGGTTATTTTGTTTAGGGTAAACTACAATGGTAGTCCCCGAACGGTTAGGACATTTACATTTTGATCACCGAACTTTTGAAATTTGCATTAGTCACTAAACTCTTAATTCACTTTCATTACAATCCCTACCATTAACAAATGTGAAATTAACTACAACTGAGTTCATATGCCATGTGTCATTTCCTTCACTAATTTATTACTCTTCAATAAGATGACGAGACGTGTCACTATCTTATTAGAGAGTATTAATTTATTAATAAAAATGACATATGGCATGTTGACTCAGTTGTTAATGTCAATTGGAAACTGCTAACAGTAGTGACTGTATATAGGTTTTAAAAGTTCAGTTATTAAAATGAAAGGGCCCTAAAAATTTAGGGACTACCGTTGTAGTTTACCCTTTTGTTTACATAACCAATGCCTAAATAAAAGGTTTGGTTCATCTTCAAAAGTTTCATCTCTTTTCCCGGCTTGTTTTTCCTTAACAATATTGCAAGATGCAAGTGGAAGGAAGTTGTTGGCAACTCACGCGTTTGTGAATTCTAACCTGAATAAAGATAAAAATAAAAGACACTTTGAGGATTTCCATTTGTTGAAATAAAAAGGATTAATTATCAATTTCATCCTTCTATTTTGTAAAATTATGAAATTCGTCTTTTTATTTTAATTTGTTAGAATTTAGTTATTGTATTTTACGAAAGCCGAGAAGTTAACTCAGTTGGATAACATTGTCATTGAATTACTGAAAGAACATCAGGCCTGTACAAATTATTATGAAATAATCTTGATCAGAGAAGAGGGAAGTGTTTCTACATGATAGATTCAGGCTTGTACAGGTATAGATGAGCTCATAGATACACATCCATTTTAACCGTTCGAGAATGGCATTTCGGCTAACCAGTCCTAGGTGGGAAGTTAATGGAAGGCCCCCCTTTACGCATCCGTCGTACTTCTCCAAGGTGGAAACAATTTCGGAGAAATCTGGCCGCTTCATGGGGTTTGCTGCCCGGCAGCGCTTTATGAGGTGTGCAAGTGCTGGCTGACAGCTCTCCGGCAATGGAGGTCATTCGATCTGCAGAAAAAAGGATCGATGTTAAAGGAATTGCATCATAAGGTTAAGCATAGAGGAACAAACTTTTACAAACTGTTCTAACCTACCTCGTGTCTTTTATGTGCAAGAACTAAGAATGTATGAGCTTGTGTAGCATATAGGGTTCAAATATTTGTTTCTTACAAACTCATTATTCTACAATTGATCTTAGGGTTTATCTTAGACTGGAGAAACAAGTCATTGTCTCAGGAAACAAGAATGATTCTACAATCCAAGAAGAAGCTGCCGTCGAAAGTGTGCTCATCGACAATTTAAGTGACGAAAATGGTGCTGTTAAGCCAGAGATATCAAACCTTTTCAGCCACTGCAAAAGCAGCTTGCACAGGGGTCATTCCTTGAAAGGGAAGCAGACAGGTTGTAAGCTCCCATAACACAATCCCGAAGCTGTACACATCGACTTTCCTCGTATACGGTTTCTCTTTGATCATTTCGGTTGCCATCCATCGGTACTTTCCAATGTTTCCTTTGCTTTCGAGACACTGCGTTTCTAGACACGATGTACCGGAATCTGCCACCTTTACCCGCATTTCATCGTTTAGCAACAGATTATTAGATTTGAGGTCTCTGTGGATCACACCTTGTGAGTTGTGAATGAAGATACTCCATCCCTCGGGATATGTCGAGAGCTAACCTCATTATTGTCTCCGTCGAAAGTGAGTATGGTTCTTTCTTGTTCAGGTACATCCTCAGAGTCCCTTGTGACATGTATTCTGTGATGATACAGTATACAGGCGGCTTCTTACAAGCAGCAATAAACTGTAAAAAAGGGACAAAATTTAGAAACAGTATGTATGTATGCATGTGTTACCTGAACTATATTGGGGTGAAAGAGGCGTGAAAGCAAAGCTACTTCAGACTTAAACTGCTGCTCGAGTTAGGATCTGGTCTCCTCCTTTTGGTTTGGGTTCTCACCATTTTTACAGCAACAGCTCTCTGCTTGTAAATCCCACGATAGATCCTACTATGAGCACCAGATGCAAATTTGTTACCTATGAACAATTGAGAAAGATCAGCGGTCCACTCCTCTTGATCCTCCTTCGAAACTTCCCACGTCTCCACATTCTCCGAGTCCAAAATCATCAACCACGATTCCAAGCTATCGAATCTCCTATTTTCCATGTTCACCATATCGGCATTCATCTGTGTCTTGGACGACGAAGGGAGCTGCAGGTGTTTGCTCCTTGGATTTCAAAGGCGAAAAACATGGAAACATGAGGTCCCCATTGACAAGCGTTTGGTTTGTGATACGGATTTAAAGGGTAAGTGTGTGTTTAGTGTCAAAACGAACAATCTAAAGGCCTCTTCCTTCTGAATGTGTGGATTGATTTCAGGAACTTCATGAACTGATTCAAAAACATGGGATTTCCAGGAGAATGAAAAAGATAGAATAGGTTTCATGAATTCCTCAGGAAAATGACAAAAATCAAAGGCAATCCCTCTGGGTATTTAGTAGCAAATTCATGGGATTTGGAAATGTAGAGACAAAGGGTGCAAACTTCTCACGGCATCTAAGGTGGTTTCGCAGCAGAAAGATGAATTCAAAGCAGAGATTTTCAAGGGTATCTCGTGATTGCTTGGTTCGAAAGTACCAAACTTTTCATTTCCTTTCTTTCCAACATCATTCATCAATCTAATCAATGCAAATTTGCCATACAAGTTTGGGTCTCGTTTTGATCATTGCATTCGCTATGCCATTGCTATTTTCATTTTCATTCCGGATAAAGTTCACTACAGGTCACTGGTTATGTTTAAATGATTGTTCCAATCATTAAACTTTTCAAAGTTATAAAATAATCATTATATTTATCAAATAATTATAAATTGATCATTAAATTCAGCTCATTTTTATAATCATTATAATGTTATAGTGATCATTTTATAACAATTTCATTATTTATAATTTTTAAAATTTCAATAATTAAAACTATCATTTGAGTATAGTTTGATGATCCCGATATACTTTATCCTTTCTACTCCCTATATTTTTCAGTAATCACCACCCCAAAAAGCCATACAAATGGCTAAAAATTTGAGTGTCCACTTGGAATACCCTGTGCCGTTGATCTTTCCATCCCCAAATTAAAATAATCACACAAAATCGTCCTTAACACATCTTTCGAATTCTAAATCAAATGAGTCCTTCTATCAATTTGGTTATATTTTAAGCATCAATTAGATTTTTATATGGTAAAAAAAATAACATCACATCTAACTTATCTAATAAATAGATACATGTTTATAAATCAATCCACGTATTTTAAATATATTTTATATGCGGTTTGAGTTGATATTTACATCAAATCAACAATTCGATTGATAAAAAGACTTAATGATTAAGATATCGATACTTTGAGGATTTAATTACAATACCTTGAAGTTTTGAACCTGATTTGTATTATTTATACTTTTTGAAATTAATTTAGAAATTGAATTATAGTTTGAGGATGTCTATTACAATTAACCCTCATTAGTATTGTACGCAAACAGACTTACTAATGATTTTGGAGGGAATTGTTTGTGGTGGCAAGTGGATACCCATTTGAATAAAAAACCCAAAGGTTCTTTTAATATGTTTGGTTCATTGCTTATGTAACTTTTCTTATTGGACTTACAATCGCGTTTAATTCACGGAATGTAAGATTATCAGTGAGAATAAAAGATTATCGGGGAATAGGATTACTGAGAATATTGTATTTTGTGTTTGGTTGGTTTAGTAGGAATGTAAGATTACAGTGTTTGGTTAAAGGAATAAAAGATTATTAGAATAAAAGATTATTGGAATGTATATTTTATCAAATTATCCTTATTATATATTTTTTAACAAGTTAAATTCTATTATAATATTATTATAATTAATTTATATATTTTCTTTAAAAAATTTAAATTCATAAAATTTATATTTTTTTTTTACAAAATTGAAAAGATAAATAGGTTTAATGAAAGTGTAAAATTTTATTTTAATCCCTGAACTTCATATAAAATTTTGATTATAGATTTTTTTTGTAAATCTAAAATACTTTAAGGATAAATTTGTAATTTAATATTAGTAGAATTTTTATTATTCAACGAAAGAAGAATGATATTTTTGGAAAAAAAAAATTAAGGGCATTCTAGTCCAAAATGTCGGTAATCCAACAATACCTAAGGGAATGGAGGTAGTCACATTCCCGGTAATATACCCCAAAAAATCCACTTTGGGATTAAAATATTACCGGGAATAAGATTACTGGCCAACCAAACGGGGAATGAGGATTCCATTCCCCCGGTAATCCCACATACCCTAAACCATACACGCCCTTAGTTCATTAGGAATCATTAAAACAGACTTTCTATTAAACTTTAAATTTCAATAAATTCATTTAAATAAAATATTTTACGAATCAAAATAATTAATTAAAAAATTTAAATGCTCGTTACGATATAACACAAACAAAAAATAAATAGATTACCAAGCGGTGTTACATTTGGAACTCTTTGTTTCATAATTGTCCGAGTGATTTTTTCCCCTCTTCAGTGCATGTTGACTGATTCCACGCGAACTTGAACTCTGACTATTTTTGCTTGGACATTAGAGTTCCCTAGAAAATCCTCTTTTCTTCAACCGTATGGCAAATCTGGAAGCAAAGAAATTCATCTTTCAATCTGTTACTATCTCGCCAACCTCTTCTTCACGTTTGAGCATTACCCGGGCTAAACAATTCTATGCTCCCCATACAACTGGAGAATGCCAACAGAGTGGAAAATGTTGAAATTATCAAATGGCAGCCCCGTCTTCTGGTTGGCTGTGCCGCCTAAATTGTGACGGAGCTGTCTCGAAAATCTCTCATAATGGAGCGACTGGTGGTGTCTTTCGTGATCACTCACGTGATTTTATTTTGGCTTACCATAAATTTCTCGGCAATTCATGCGGTGTTTTGTAGTATTTATGAGGGATTGAAGCTCGCCTGGTCAAATGATTTTGAAAAAAGTAGTTCTAACTGATAGTGCGGATGTGTTTGATCTTCTATCTCCGCCTTCATCTGAGAGTTTTTTTTTTCTCTCGTTCGATCTATCGCTTCTCTTTGCAATAAAGCTTGGTTTGTTGACTTCATTCAAATTCGAAGAGAAGCCAATATGACAGCTGATTACAAAGCCAAAATTTCCAACTCACATGACGCCTCGCTCATGATATTCGCTTCGCTCCGGTTGATTTATTTGATATTTTAGCCAGATATGTTTCAGACCCTTGTTATAAACGCGTGAGGAATTAACATACTGACTTTTGCCTCACTCTTTGATTCAAAAAAAATATAAATAGATTACGCAATTTTGAAAAACCACAAACAAATCACTAAATTAATATTGAAAATAAAATGGATGTTAGAAGGCATGTTAGGAAACAGTTTTCATCATTTTCTTATTGGGTAAATGACACCACAAGCCATCCAACTATTAGTAGATTACAAATGTGTCACCAATTATTACTAAGATTATTAATAGGTCACTCTATCTCATAAAGTCATAAACGAGTCATCCAGTTAATCGAAAAAGGAAACCCGATTTGAAAATGAAGCTTCTCGAATATCAAGGGCTCCATTCGATGATCCGAATGATGGAAAATAATCGCCGGTGAAAGGAAGAACATATCTCAAGATAGGAGCCATTTGATAGGACAAAGTAAATAGAAGTTTGAAAGTTTTAAGGGTGATTTTATGATTTTTTTAGGGAGATTCTTAAGAATTTAATGAGATAAATTGAAGAAAAAAAACTAAAACGAATCGAATGATAAAATTTGAAGTTTATTATAATATATGGAAAAGAAATCTCCCGAATACAACATGCCGATTTTATTTGTCTGAAGTTGCAAAATCGGTTTCTATTTTAATTCAATACATAAAAATTGCAATAGGAAATTTAAAAAGCAGGACTTGTATTACAAAAGAAGCTAGAGCCTTGAGGAGGTTCCTCCTGCTACGATTAAGATTTCTCCTGTATCGTAAGAAGCATCATCCGAAGCTAAGAAAGCAGTCGCGGCTGCAATTTCTTCAGGCGACCCAAGTCTTTTCAATAGTGTTATGTCCTCAAAGGATTTTTTCTGCAACAAAAATCCCGACTCGAATTTTAATGACATTCAATGAAATGAAATATTTACGTTACTTTAATATATATCATTTTCTTTCAAATCATGTCAACTTACCGTGGCTTCATTGGCTGTTACGAAAGCCGCAAAACGTGTTGGTACAAAACCCGGAGCGATAGCATTGACTCGAACATTTGGGGCCAACTCAGCCGCCAGAGCCTAATAAAGAATCAACCAACACAGCCGGGTTAGTATTATCATTGTGTAAACTATGCAAAAGTCCTGAATGTGTGTGTGAAAGGGACAAAAGCCAACCTTAGTGAGACCAAGAAGGGCTGTCTTGGTAACCCCATACATGGCCATGGAAGGCTGAGGTTGATAACCACCGTATGATGATATGAAAATAATGGATGAACCTTTCTTCAAATGAGGAGCTGCATCCTGCATTATGCAACCAAAACAGATCAGCTTCACATCAAATAAGCTATGGTAGTTAAGGATACTTAGTTAACCCTAATCATCTTTTGATTACCTGAAGAAGAAGTATGGATGCTTTGACGTTTGTTTCCCATAGCTTGTCGAGGATGGATTCTTTGGTTTCCAACAGGGGCACGTTAACCGGATTTACAGCAGCATTGGATACAATCACATCTATTTTCCCGTATTTCTGAAACCAATTACCCAAAGGATTCAACATTGTTGCCAAGAGAATTGCATACTAAATTTTATCAGCAATAAAATAAGAGAGGTAACCATCAAAACGGAACGGATTCGAACCTTGAATGTTTTTTTTGGATAATTGAACCTCGAATGTTGTAGCTCGAACATGATTCATATTTTAAACATGCCTAAATTTTGGTCCAAATCCATTTCTAAAATATAATATTTTTATTCAGATCTTCTCAAATTCTGATCTAACCGAATTTTGATGATTCAAATTCTGATCTAAATTCAGATATTTTTAAAATTGCTAAAGGTGATATAGAAGCTTTACATCGTCAGGACAGTGTCAAATTCTCATATCAAATGGAAGAGATCAAAAGGAAATGTTCTAGTTCTCAAGTTTATTAGTTTTTTTTTATTTGTTCAGTGTTTGGTACGGGAATTTAAGATTTTCATTGACTAACCTTGACGGTTGTGTTTATTAGATTCTTCCGTTGCTGGGCGTCGGATACATGGCAAACGACTCCCAGAACATGTATTCCATTAGCTTTAAGCTTTTCGACGGCCTCGTCCACGTTTTTCTACAATTACAGCGCAAAAACATAATTAACATCCATCGTCATGGCCAAAACAAATCAAACAACCACCAATTTCACCCAAAAAAAATTGCAGAGCAAAACAGCATCCACAGCATAAACAATCGATCAATACACTAAAGATTATCCAAATCTTGCCAATCACAGATCGCATAACAAGCATTTACGATTGAATTCAGAGGATATTGAAATTATTAAAAGACCTGCTTGCGAGAGGAGATGACGACAGAAGCACCTTCCAAAGCAAGGCGCTCCGCGATGCCAAAACCGATGCCTTGTGTCGAAGCAGTTACAATCGCTACCTTGCCTTCAAATCTTCTTGCTGCTACCTTGTTCTTCATTTTCGTAAATTCAAAAACAAAGCGATGAAGACCGAAGAGTTTCTCTGTTTTGTAAATTCAGAAAACAATGGCGATGAATTATAGAATTCTTTCTATCTGCCCCGCCATTATTTAAGTCCTAACAGCAACCACCCCGCCATTATTTAATTTTTTATTCATTCTTGGATTTATATATTTAAGTGTATATATGTCACATCAAACGGCAATTTAATAATTGAACTGAGGAATCATCAACGATTACATTATTGATATATATATATATATAAATATAATCTTCTCTATTAAGCATATATTTTAATTTTTCATTTTCAATAAAATTATGTATATTAACTTCTCTATTTTTTATTAAATATATATTTGGTTAAAAAAATAGTATAAGGACTTACTTTAATAAAATGTACTAGTTTGAGGGCTTTTTTTAACATATTAACCTAAACTATTTGATATGCGATGGTCAATATTCAATTTTAAATAATTTTAAAGTGAAGTTTCTGATTGAAATTTAGAAATTTCAACGAAACCAGAGAGAATAAAAAAATGAATTTCAAATAAAAACGTTTCGAAATCAGTGATACCAAAATAATAATAATAACAATAATGGTTCAATTATAATTAAATTATAACCATTAAAATATTTTAACCTAAACTCCACGTTTTCAATTAGATCGGCACATCATTGTTTTTTATGCATATAAATCTAATCAGACGCCATAGTGGACTGCGTACATGCATACATATAGGTTGTTTTACTTACCTACAGCCTGGAACTTTATTTTGGGATGGCCTTAAATTTAAATTCAACTCCATTAGTTTTAAAATATCATTCAATGTAAAATTTAAAATATTATTTGGGTACAAACTTTTTGCATTCTCTAACAGAGATGTCTATAAACCAAATTAAGCTGAACTGAATTTGATTATAATTTCTTTTTCGAGTCAAGACTCAAGTTCAAGTTAACCCATCCAATTTATTCATTTTTTAAAATTTAAAAATATTTTTAAGAGAGATAATTGCACATGCGGCCCCAAACTATAACCCATTTTAATTGGCATTTTATATCAATCCCTAAACTATGACAATATTTTAAATTAATCCCTAAACTTTATATCATTTCATATCAATCCTTATACTATTAGTATCATCCTGTTTTGATGCTTTCGTTAATGTTTTGTTAATTCTATTAGTTCAAATACTAATATATTTTGGAAGGTATCGAGAATTGAACTCATGACATTTTAAAAAAATTTAGGACCTTCAGAAACATATTAATTTTTTTTTTTTGATTAATCTGGGTGAATACATGGGCCATGCCATTTCACATTCAATAATCTTTAAATATAATAATAATAACGATAATAATATTTTTTTAATAGAAGAATATTTGTTCAAACTTAATTAATGTGTCCATTAAAATAGCATTACAAGCCCATTCTCAACAGGATCTCAAAGTGTGATTATCTAACAACCATTGTTTTTTTATTAAACAATTGTTATTAAATTTTTTAATCTAATAATTACTTTATAATTTATAAATTTTAATGATCAAAACAATAATTTAAATGTAATTTAATGGCTTTGTAATTTTGTTTTGATATATTCAATAGCATATTACATTGAAACAGGGTACAGACATAGGGTAAAAAGGTAAAGAGCATGGATTTGATTTGAGTAGAATAAGGAACTAGAGTCTGGAGGTGGTTCCTCCTGCCACGATTAAGATTTCTCCCGTGATGTAAGATGCATCATCCGAAGCCAAGAAAGCAGCCGCGGCTCCTATTTCCTCCGGTGTGCCAAGCCTTTTCAATAATGCTTGGTTCTCAAATGATTTTTTCTACAATCACAAGCAATTGTTGAAAACAATTATGTCACTCAAACATATACAGAGGCGAAGCTATATCATGACTGAAGGGTTATAGCCCCGCATTTTTTGGGTCGAATTATTTTTTAGGTCCTTATACTTTTGAAATTAAGAAAATTAAATTTCATCTTCTAATTTTTTGGGTTCAACTACTTTTTAGATCCTTTGAATTTTAAAATTAGACAAATTAAGTCTGACTTTCATTTTTTTTACTTAAATATTGATTAGGCCTTTATTGATTTTAAAATTAGGTAAAATAAATCTTGAATCTCTGATTCTAAAATTTTATAATGATGACTTAATAGTTAAACATTGATTCTATTTTTATTATTATTTATATTTATCCCTTAGATTTTATCTTGATTTTGTCTATGAACATATATTAGTTACATTCAAATGATATCGTATCTCATATGATTATATTTCTAGAAGGAAAAAAAATCAACTTACCGTGGCTTCATTTGCGGATATGAAAGCTGCAAAACGAGTTGGTACGAGACCCGGAGCGATAGCATTTACTCGAACATTTGGGGACAACTCAGCCGCCAAAGCCTAACAGGTAATCAACCAACACAGTTAGTTTAGCATTATGTAAAATTTATATATAGAAGAGAGACGCTAACCAACCTTAGTGACACCAAGAAGGGCCGTCTTAGTAACCCCATACATAGCCATATTAGGCTGAGGTTGATAACCACCATATGATGAAATGAAAATAATCGATGAACCTTTCTTCAAATGAGGAGCTGCGTCCTGCATTACACAACGAAAACAGATTAGCTACACATCCAATAAGCTATGGTAATCAAGGATAATTAGTTAACTCTAATCATCTTTTTTGAGCACTTGGTTACCTGCAGAAGAAGTATGGATGCTTTGACGTTTGTTTCCCATAGCTTGTCGAGGATGGATTCTTTTGTTTCCAGCAAGGGCACATTAGTCGGATTTACAGCAGCATTTGATACAATCACATCTATTTTTCCATATTTCTGAAACCAAAAATACATACAATGTTAAACATACCAATTATCCAGAGGATTCAACATTGTTGACCAGAGAACTGCACATTCAATCTTATAAGCAACAAATAAGAGAGAATAGTCCATCAACACAAGGGCAGAGTCTGAGTGCAGACAGGGCTTTGGCCCCTAAAATGAGAAAATTATGGTGTAGTTCCTCTAGAAAATGTAAAGTTATAAGTTAATAGAGTACAATGGAACAAATCAAAGGAAAATGACCGAGTTCTCAAGTTTATTAGTTTTTCTTTTTAGACGATTGGTATTGGAATTCAAGAATTTCATTGACTGACCTCAACAGTCGTGTTTATTAGATTCTTCCTTTGCTGCGCATCAGAAACGTGGCAAACGACTCCGAGAACATGTAGTCCTTTACCTTTAAGCTTTTCAACTGCCTCATCCACGTTTTTCTACAAGTATACAGCTCAAAAACATAATTAACATCCATCATCAAATCAAACAGATCAACCAACAACCAATTACAAAGATAAAAGAAAGATAAGAAAGTAATTTTCAATAAGTTCCACGAAGTACTGTTAGTATGATCGGAATGTTTTCTTCCTATTTTGCAAAGAAAAAACAGCATCCACAGAATCGCAGCATAAACAATCCATCGATAAACAAAAGATTATCCAAATCTTGTTAATTACAGATCGAATAGCAATCATTTATTATTGAATCCATAGAAGATCGAAATTATTAAAAGACCTGCTTGCGAGAGGAGATGACGACCGAAGCACCTTCCAAAGCAAGGCGCTCTGCGATGCCAAGACCGATGCCTTGAGTCGAAGCAGTCACAATTGCGACTTTGCCTTCAAATCTTCTTGCTGCTACCTTGTTCTCCATTTTCGTAAATTCAAAAGCAACGGCGACGAAGACTGGAGAATCTCTCTTCCGTAAATTCGAAGTACAATGGCGATGGATTGAAGAGTTCTCTCCATCTTCCCTTTATATACAAGTTCTCACAGAAACTACCCCGCCATTATTTAAATATTTTATTTAAATACTCTAAATCTTTTACTTTTGGTTAAAGTAGATCAGAGGTCACTGAACTATACTTAAATGATTGGTTTGGTCCCTGAATTTTCAAAAGTTATATATGTGTCATTAAATTTTATCAAATTATTACAAGATGGTCATTAACTTTTATTGAACTGATATGAAACGGACCTTATCAAACTTTTACACTTATCATAATTTCGTACTAACCATTTTATACTAGTTTGATTAATTTAATAACATTTTGTAACTTTTAAAAGTTTTGTGACCAAAAGGATTATTTGAAACGACCTCAATAATTGAAGGGATGGTTATTATCTTTAGAGGTCTTTGGTTCAAGCACGTTTCTTGTACGAGTGTTTGAGCATTTAGAGTTTCTCGAACATATATTATCTTGTAATCACTCTAGACTAATAAAAAAATAATGTACTATTATCGAATATATTTTAATCTAAAATAATTGAGGTAACTCATTTTTATGCATAAATTAATTTTAAATATACATTTTAATATTTGTTTTACAATTGAATGAGTATTATTCTTCAATTTTAAATAAAATACAAAATAAATTATTACTATTGAGTATCAATATTCATCCGGTTAAAATCAAAGGATAGGAGCTTATTTGGTTTTAGAAAATATAAGGATTTGCTTGAACAAAATATACAAGTTTAAGGGTTTTCTAAAGTATTAACTTAAACTATGAGACATGTAATTAGGAGTGACAATTTTACCGAATTCGTGTGTGAATTTATGCAGTTGAGTTAATTTAAAAAAATTGGGCCGAGTAGGAACGTATTTGAATTTAAGATGAAAAATATTTGATTTGGTCAAATTTGAGGTATAATTATTATTTTTATATATTTAGATACGATTGTTATATCTCTTTATATATATATACTTAATTATATCTTTATTTATGGAATAAAAATAAAGATTTTACCTTAAAATTCAAATTTAATGTAACTTCTTTAAATAATAGTTGAGTGTTTGGTGAGGAATATAATATTTAAATTGAATTCAGATACTAAAAATCTAATCTTACCTCACCCGTTGTCAGGGGTGGATTTAAAAGGAGAAGGTGGGAGTGGTCGCTCCTAAAAATTTTATATGTTTATATATTTTAGATATTTTCTATTAAAAATATATTTTCGTCCCCTAAAATTTTATAAGTTTTTCTTACTTACAATTTTATAATTTTGCTCCTCCGAACATAAAATATTGTCTGTCATTCTTACATATAATATTTAATTTTAAATTATTTTAAAATTAAAAAAATAAAAATTGGAAATGTCAAGGAAACCAAAAAGAGTAAAAAATAATTTTAAATAAAAGACCAAACACGTTTTACATCAAATAATCCCAAAACAACAACAATAATGATAATGACATTATTAATAATAATATTTGTTAAGTAATGTATCCATTAAAATATTTTAACAAACATAGCCTGAATCCCACGTTTTCAATTAGATCGACGCAGCGCATAAATAATACTCTACTGCAACAACAATAAATAAAAGACGCCATAGTGGACTCACTACACGATATAAAAATAAACAAATAATATTTTACTTGCCTGTTTACTTAATTCTCTTTCTAACTATGGTAACCTCGTATAAATGATAAATAATTACGAATCGCCCTTTATTACCAAAACTAAAACGTATTTAAATAGAGAATTTTGATCCGATAGAGATACTTATAAGTCTTGGTCAAATTCTGAATCTAGTCCTTGTACAATGCTCAGAATTAGGTTTTAATAATGATATTTAAATTTGATAGACTTTGATTCTTCTGTTTTATGATGTTATTGATTAGTTCAAATAGTTAACACTATTAGTTACTCTAACTAAAGAATTGAAATTTATTTACTTCTTAAAAACACTAATTATAATGCAAAAATAATTGTGTTTAATAAAAAAAATGATAACAATAACGTTATAAAATAACATTATACAAATAAACTCGGACTTTAAGGTTATTCTTCAAAACCCATGTATGTGAGTTGAAAGTCCTTGCTATTAGAGAATAGTGCTGAGAAATGGGTGATTAGGTTTTATCATATGGATTGGGATCATTTCTCCATTATAGGTTAAATTATGGGTATGTATGAAAGGTTTTGTATTGCGTGGACTTATAGCTTCGAACGTCTCCAAATCCAAATTAATTGTGCACAAATTGAAAAATGTTAGATTATAGAGATTAAATGGATTTCCCGTTAGAGCAGTATGATAGTTGATGATGATCAAGCTAGAAACATCTTCAGCTTTTCAATTGATGTAATGTGCGACCCTGAAGCGCGCCTTTTTGGGAAATTCGCCAAAATAAAGACCCCCAAGATTCATGAATCAAAGCTTTTTCCTGTAGATTCACTCTTGAAAAATTCTTCCACCTTCTCTCCCTAAAATATCCATCGAGATTTCATTCTCCCCCCCCCCTTTCCCCTTGTTTTTTTTTTTTAAAAAAATTTGGCGCGAAAAAGTGGACATGAGTCGAAAGATTCGAGGAAAAGGCTAACGAGGCGGCTGGTGATCACTCGCTGCCGCCTAATTCTTCGGTCACGGGGAAAGACAGCGAGATCTACGGAGAGGAGCTGTTCGTACCTCCTTTGAATTTCTCCATAGTCGATAATGGAGTTTTTAGGTCTGGTTTCCCTGATTCCGCCAATTTTAGCTTCTTGCAATCTCTAGGGCTCCGCTCTATCATGCGAGTTACTCAACACTGCCAATTTGCGTGGCTTATGGCTATCGAAAACGTGAATTTCATTGATTCTAAAATTTAAATTGCTTTTTTATGTTCGTTTTTTCTTTGTAGAAATCTTTCCCTGAGACCTATCCGGAAGCCACCGATGAGTTTTAAAAGGCTAATGGAATCAGGCTTTTCCAATTCGTTATCGATGGATGCAAGGTATTGATTGCCATGATTATATCCCAATGATCAATACTTTCTAGTTCTTGGCTGTTACTTACCAAATCCATTTACTGAATTTGACATCGAAAATGGTTCTTCCTAAGCTAAAATCAAAATGTTAATTTTGATAATTCTGTCATATTTTCTCCATATCCATGAAATTTGTGATCCCTGAACTGTGTTCTTTACCGTAATATAAGATTATAGAATCCTTTGGAAAGTTAAAATTGATAGCTGAGCAGCATCCTTCATTGCATCATCATCCAAGCTCGAGCTTTTGCTCAAGTCCTGTTTCTTCTTAGTGGTGAAATTTAAGGGTTGAGGTATATGATGCGATGGAGGTTATGTGAGCAGCACGAAGCGAGAAACCCCTTCATATCTACTCTCAAATGGGTATCTGTATTTTGACTGATTTGCCAATTTATTGAACTAAAAATTAGAATTGTTGATATCATGCTCTTCTTCCGGCGGTGGTTTTCTTACACTTTCTTGTGGGCATTGAACTAAAAAGTTGAGTTTGAATTTGCGAAGTTCGAATAATTTTAAAAAAGTGAAATGATTTGTTTTGGTGTTTAGTTAGGTAATTTGATTGTTTTATGATTTGGTTCATAATTTTTTTATTTCTTCCACTCTTACAGTTTTAAATCCATTTTTTTACCAAAATTTAACCACATACTCCTCAACACTCTTGAATACCCATGTAACATCCAATTCACATTTTGAAGGAAAAAAAATTCATTTTGCTATATATTCAATTTGGTCCTCTTACTACAATTCTTTATAAATTCTTCCTTGTCATCAATTCCTTAATTCATTTATACTCCTGTCAATATTGTCCTCAAAACCCTTAGTTTAAATTGCAAGTCAATCAGTACCATTACATTATAAATAATTACACTTAAATTTGAATAGAAAATCGAACAAATATATTTGTTTCGACTCGACTTGAGAAAAATTCAAATGAAGTTACAGTAGTACACATAAATTCGACTAACTTTAATTTTTTTCACTAGACTCGATCAAATACTCACCCTCACCCATACTTCTGATGTGATTCAGGTCAAATATCTTATTTCATGTCTTGTAATTGATAATCTATACTTTGTACTGGAACCTTTTGTAAACATTCCGGAGGAAACAATCAGGGAAGCATTGAATGTCATCCTCGGTATTTAATTTTACTCTTTACTTGTGACCTATAGTTTTCTTCTTTATCATCTGCTTATATTTGTTATCATATGTTTCCATACCAGATGTAAAGAACCATCCGGTGCTGATCCATTTTAAACGAGGAAAGATAATATTTTCATCCTATGTTTTTTTGCCTTTGTGATATGTTTTTCAACCTATGTTTTTTTGCCTTTGTGATATGTTTTTCAACCCAGCTTAGTGGTTCACTGATATATTGATGTATATGTTGTGCAGCACCGTACTTGTTGTGTCGTCGGATGTTTAAGATAATTGCAGAGATGGTGCCTGTCTTCGAATTTTTTGACGAGTACCAGCCTTTTGCTGCTGCGAAAGCAAGGGTGTCTGACCAGAGGTTCGACGTTTCAAGCATGACGAGCATACCAATAACGTTTTCATGTTCAAAGAGGTAGCGAGCGACGCATCAGATATCGCTTGAAGTTTTACTGCCAATCCATAATCGAAACAACTTAGTTAATAATATATACATACGTTTTGAAGCATGACATGGATGGTTAACTTTCTGCTATCGAATATTTCTCTCGTTCTAATGGAAAATTACATATAAATAATAATGACTACATAGTACATACAAGTCTTGCTATGGATAGGCACGGTGCAGGGGTGGGTCTGCGTTTTGATTTGAAAATTGAAAGCTTTGACTCGATTTCGATATGTCTTGAATTTTGAATTAATAATTGAAAATATATGGAGAGAGGGACATCATAATAACTACCCTTATATATTATGTATATGAATGCACATTATAATAATTGTTCCGACTTGAATCAAAGATTTTTTTATTATAAATTTAGTTTAATTTTGATCTCGACTCTCTTTAACAAAACTCGGTGTTGATCTTGAAACTTTGAATGGGCTATTGGAGGTTCTGGGCATGGGTTTATTCATTCGTTCGATTTGAACACAAAATTAACCAATGGAAAGCATCACACAAATGCCAATGGAAAACAAAGTGTAAACTCTCCATCTAGTGTGAATCACCCCCGACAAGATTGACTTACGTTGTATAATGTCATCAGCAATCTGCATCCTGCATTTTAATTTAATCAAACTTTATAATATGCTCAGTAATTGTTTTATCATCTTTTCTTCTTTAGTTTATGCTTTATCAATTAGTGAAGCAAAGTGCAGATTCCAAATTAATTTTTACTTGCAACTCTTAATCACTGTATCTATAAAATTCCCCAGGCATTGCCTTTATCATCTACACACACTCACAGAGAGAAATATATATCGGCCAAGAATGGCTAAAGAAATAACAATCTCGACATCAGGGATGGCTTTTTTCGACGAAATGAGTGATCCATACGCAAAAGTGATGGAAAACGACGCTCAGGGGCTGCAGAGAATCTACGAGAATAACCGCAACTCATTGTTCGATAGAATCAACGCTTGCGGAGACACCATTTTCCACATCGCGGCTTACAACGGACGCGATGAATCGCTCCAAGTGATGCTCAAAATGGTGCCGCAGTCCAGGAAGCGTGAGCTGATGATGATGAAGAACGGTTTCGGGAACACGATTCTCCACGAGGTGGCCACCACTACCAATGTAAGAGCTTCTGATTTGTTGATCACAGAGCTGTCGTTGTTCCATGAGAACGATATTCGTCAAAGGGAAGAGATATTGGCGGCTCGAAACAAATTGGGCGAAACCCCGTTGTTCAGGGCCGCTGAATATAGCAACAAGACGATGGTGGTGTATTTAGCGACGGAGATCGAACGAGCCGGGAATCTTATGAGTCATTATAAAAGGAACGACGGGACCTCCATTCTTCATATTGCTGTGATCGGCCAACACTTTGGTATGTATCTTAAACTCGCCCACTCCACCGTTCTATATATTATTTTGAACTCGATTAGTCTAGATCAAGTACCTGCCATTGTTTCGATTTCGATCATTTTAGATTTGGATTATTTAAATTTTAAGTATGTTTTTTTAGATCGAGTCACTATAAATTAAGTTCATTTTAGATTTGAATTATTTTAGTTTCACGTCAATTTCATTTCAAATTTAATGATTCAAGTGGATTTTTTATAGTTAAATTGAGTTGGATTTGGATTTGGTTTTTTTGAATTCTAGTTAATTGTAAAATATACTAATTAAACTCCGATAAATTGAAGAGATTTACTTACCGATTTTTGTAAGTTAGAGGGATGAAAGTAACAATTAAACCTTAATTAATTCAATATTATGTTACTAAAATTTTCATTTTTCAATCTCAGATACTGCTATTTGGTTTCTAAAGAAAGATCCACAGCTTGCAACTTACAGAGACAAGTATGGAAAAACAAGCCTTCATGTCCTAGCTGGCATGTCCTCTGCTTTTAAGAGCAGCTCCCCTATTCAAGGAATATTCAAGGGGTCTTTCTACAATTGTATGTCTTCTATGTCTTCCGTCTTATAAAAATAATCCGAATTCAATAGATTTTAATCCGATTCAATTTGATAAAGATTATTATTTAAAAAAAATGAGTTTAAGGCTAAGAGAGGTTATATAATATTCCGGGTTAAGTAGGAGTTAATTTTATTTTTCCGAGATCAAATTATTAAAACTTTAAATAGAATAAAAATAAAAGCTGAAATATAAAACCATGTCGTTTCTCTTGGTTGTCATCCCTAATTTAATGGCATTGTTGTTTGAAAGGCCTTCATAGTGGTGCATGTCATGAGGATGAGACTGATGAGCTTCCATTGAATCTGCAAAGCAAAGATTTAAAGCAGGGTAGGCCAAGTAAAGCTCTAAACCAGTCAGAGCTCTGTAAAGGTAATTTTCGTTTTTCGGTTTCATATTCGAGACTCGTAACTATCCCTTTCAGCAATATTTTATTATCGTTTTTAAGAATTTTTAGTCAGATACGATGATCATATATGCTCGAGCCTCTCTGTGTGTAGGATGGAAAATGATTGATGGGATTCGGGCACGAAAGAGAATGCACCAATCGGCCGTTAAACTGGCGAAGATCTTAGTGAGAACCGACTCGTCTTGGTTTGATACTCACGAACCGGAGGAGGACGACACAGTTTGCTTGGAAAGAATGGAAGAAGAAAAGGTAAAGAGTTCGCCCGGCATCGAGTGCCCACCCGAACCGGATACGCCTTTGTTCATGGCGGCCAGAGCGGGCATTGTGGAGGTAGTGACCGAGATACTCACAGTGTACCCTCAAGCCATTGATCACATTAACAGAAAGGGACAGAACGTACTTCATGTCGCCATCATGCATCGGCAATACAAAGTGTACGACAAACTTAAGGATAAGGACGAGGCGAAGAGGTTGGTTCGGGGCATCGATAATCATGGCTGCACCATATTGCACCGCGCCGCGGACACCAAATTCTACCATGGAGGAACCAGACCTACTCCTGCCCTCAAATTACAACAGGAGTTTATATGGTTTGAGGTGAATGAATCAAATGAGTAAACATTTTTTTGCTGTGGATTTGTCATTCGAGTTCGGGTTATTTCAAGTCACTTGTTTGAATAGTTTCGGATTTGAATTGTTTCGAATTCAAGTTTGATGGTTGAAATTTTTACTTAAATCAAATTGATGCAGCAAGTGAAAGCTCAAATGCCCCCTCATTTTATCATGCACATCAATCGAAAGGGCAAAACAGCAGACCAGCTTTTCAAGGATATGCACCGAGAGCAACTCAAAGCCGCCCAACACTGGGTGAAGAACACCTCCCAGTCGTGCTCGACGGTCGCCGTACTCGTGGCTACCGTCGTCTTCACCGCTGCATACACCGCTCCGGGAGGTTTCTTGCAGAGTAATTAACTAATCTACTACCAGATAATCTACATATATATATATTATGAAATTACGATATTGAGACGTGGCTATTAACAGCAGACGGCAGACCGATCCTCCTTGACAAGCCTCTGTACTCATTTTTCACCGTGATGGACGTCGCCGGCCTGGCGAGCTCGTTGACCTCGGTGGTGGTCTTCCTCTCGATCCTCACTTCTTCGCTGGAGTTTGGAGATTTTCATCACCGGCTCCCGCGGAACCTCTCGCTCGGTTTCACCTTTCTGTTCTTCTCCGTCACGTCGACCATGCTAACTTTCACGGCCACCATCTTGCTGCTCGTTCATTTGCAGACAAAGTGGACCGCATCGCTAACGTATGCCGCCACGTTCCTTCCCATAGGCGTATTCGCGCTGTTTCAATTCCCTTTGTACTACCAGTACTTCATGGCTGCGGTCAAAAGCATTCTTGATTTCCTCAGGAAGAATTTGCCTGGAAACTGGGATTTTCTTGAAATTAAGGATGATTGAAGGGTCGTTGCTTAAACCCCTTTTGTTTATGGATTCTATATAATTATTTTCTCTTGTTCCTATGTTCTACTTTTGATTAATATGAGGAAGAGATATAAATTGTTAGGCGATTGAACTCATTATTTGTGTAAATAAATTAGAGATTTGATACCAATTTCTTAAGCACTTCACTGGTGCTTCAGTAGACAAATATTCTTTTAATTCTAAAAGAAATGTTTTGAGATAACATGCAAGTAATTTCACATATTCTCGAGTAAAATTCTGAATGAGAAGAAACCAAAATCCATTATAAGTTTAAATAAAATTCTGATTTTAAACTTTTATTATTATAATAAATTATTTATTTATTTTTAGATCAAACTTAAATAATCTACAAATACAAGTGTTTTATTTACACTACTTAGGACTACTCTCTCCCAGGATCGTTTCTTCAAACAAAAACAAATACCATATTCATTTGGGATTTGGACTTTGTTTTTAGGGCATAAGCAAGTAGCTTTTGAATTGATTCTCTGAAGCCCAAGTCTCATTTAATACATTGACAAATTTAGCCCAATATTTATATGTTCTTATTAAATTAATTATTTTAATTAAATTCAACTTTTTTTTTGGATAATTAAGATATTATTACCCAAATTAGCAAAGTTTTGCTACAAATCAATCAACCAAACAAAATCTGAACAGCATCGAACAGCATCAAAAATTTCAGTAAATAGTTGTTCTAATGATCTAGATCGAACTTGGAAAATTCTATGATTTCAATATAAAAAAAAAAGGGTGAAATAAGGTTCTTCAAAGCTTCCCAATTCTACCACCAACCCCAAGTCCCAACACCAACTCCAACCAATATCAAGTTAGGTAAACGACACACACGGCACACCCACCCACCTCATGCTCTTATTATTTGAGGGAAAAAACTATCCATTGGTTCGATTATAATACAAATAAAAATTGAGATTAAATCGATCAGTACAATATTTTTAAATAATTTAGGATAATTATAAGGGAGTACTTATTTAGGATTTTCTTAATTAATTGATAATATCTTACAAATACTAATATTCGAGACCAAAATCATTAAAGAGAATAATATTTTATTTTATTATTGAGATCACTTGATGAGTTTATACATATGTTTTATTTGATCATTGTCCTGATAATTTATATTTTTATGTAATTATTTTTCTTTTATTTCAATCGTCAATTTTTGACTAGTCTTTATTTTTTTTGTCATTTTAATTTTATATTAAAATTATTAATAATTATTTATAATTTTAATAAAATTATCAATACTTCTTATTATAAAATACACCTTTTAATTTTGAACATCATATAACGAATTAAACAAGATCATTATTTTTTTGTCATTTTAATTTTATATTAAAATTATTAATAATTATTTATAATTTTAATAAAATTATCAATACTTCTTATTATAAAATACACCTTTTAATTTTGAACATCATATAACGAATTAAACAAGATCATATTTAATTGAAAACGTTTTTATACTAAATTATTCATTTTGATCAAAATATTTAAATATGTTTATAGTATTTTCATTTTTCTATCTTTTTATAAATATATTTTTAAAATTAAATATATATATATATATATATATTAAAAATAGTTATAAAAATCCATAATCAATAACCAACTTAACATCTATTTATCTACGTACAAAATCAGATTAATCATTATAATTCACCCAATATTAAATCACACCTACTTCCTGTGATCCTGTCAACTCTTTTAACCTCCCTCCATTATACACCAAAACTACATTTAAAATTACCGAAATGCCATTGCTTTGCTAATTGGCAAATGGTCAATACATACTACTGTAAAACAAGACAATAAATAGTTGTAATAAAACTCACTGTTCTGCCCTGCTCAAATACTATCTTTTATCATTTGTCTCTTACAGATACACGCTCCAACCGCAAGGCGGCTCCACTCTCCGTGGAGACATAGTTTTCATAACCACAACCAGCTAACTCATAAACTCAAAAAACCAATGTCCGCTGCTTCTTTGGAGTACACTAACGGCGGAGCTGCCGCCTTCGAAACGGCGCCGGTTTCGGGACGTCTAACCTCCGTTTACAGTCAGGTCCAGACCAGTCGTATCGACCACGCTCTTCCTCTTCCTTCTGTTCTTAGAAACCCTTTCAAAATCGTCGACGGTCCTCCTAGCTCCGCCGCCGGCAACCCTGGTACCTCACGCTTTTCTTTTGTGTCTTTTTTTTTTCATTTTCGATCCACCTTTGGTTTTATCTACATCTTTGTGCAAGTTCACTAAACTAGAAACTTTCTTTGTTTTTAAAATAAAAGGAAATAAAGCATGAGATTGTGAATCTAAAAGGTTAGCTTTTGGCAGATGAGATTGCTAAGCTGTTTCCGAATCTATTCGGGCAACCATCGGCGATGTTGGTGCCGAATGGAGCTGACTCTCTCCGATCTGATATGAAGCTTAAGATCGGCGTCGTTTTGTCTGGAGGACAGGCACCTGGTGGTCACAATGTGATTTCTGGAATATTCGGTTTGTACTTACTTTTGTCGATTACACTTTTCAATAGCATCGCTTGGGTGTGAGTTTCCCCTGGTTTTCCATGTATTAGAAGATTCGTGAAGTCATGTCCATGTGTCGGACATTCAAGAAAAATGAAGATTCCTATGTTATTTGTGATAGTGGAAGTAAAACGTGGTCCTTTTTTCCCTTTGTAATGACAGATTACTTGCAAGATCGGGCCAAAGGTAGCATTTTGTATGGATTTAAGGGAGGTCCTGCTGGGATCATGAAATGCAAATACATAGAATTGACTTCAGATTATATTTACCCTTACAGAAATCAGGTATCTTTTCCCAGTTTTTACTGCTAAATATTGCTTTCTATGGAAAATGGTAGTCATTCATGTTATTGGCAACATTAATCTTAACTCTTATGCTTTCATGTATGCTGATTCCTAAAGCATATATCCCAATTGATTGCATTCCTGTATTTATTTTAACCAGGGTGGCTTCGATATGATCTGTAGTGGGAGAGACAAGATTGAAACTCCTGACCAGGTAAGAGCCTTTCCGTTATTCGTATAAGTTTTTATCCCCTAATGGTGTCTGATAAAAGTGGGTATAATTTTCAGTTTAAGCAAGCGGAAGAAACAGCAGCGAAGCTTGACTTGGATGGGCTCGTGGTTATTGGCGGGGATGACTCGAACACAAACGCTTGCCTCCTTGCTGAAAACTTCAGGTACAGTTTGAGATACATAGCTGTTGTGTAACATGCACCTTGTACATTCTCTTCATAGGTGTGACTTTATTTCTTAATTTGTCACTCAGAGGTAAAAATTTGAAAACTCGGGTGATGGGGTGCCCAAAAACCATCGATGGTGATTTGAAATGCAAAGAGGTACCAACAAGTTTCGGGTTCGATACTGCTTGCAAGGTAAGGCTATTTTTGTATTTACATTTTATATAGTGCTTCCATTGTGCATGCTACTCTGGTTGGATGTGTACTCATATCTGGTTACCTTCATATAGATTTATGCAGAAATGATCGGAAACGTCATGATCGATGCACGATCAACTGGAAAATATTATCATTGTAAGCGCTTCAAACTTATAAACTTCACACGTATGTGAAGTTGTACGGCTCATGGTTACCTTTTGAAGACGGTTCATCTTTGTTTGATTTGGGATATAAATGACTTCATACGTCTGTGCAGTTGTACGGCTCATGGGGCGTGCAGCTTCACACATTACTTTGGAGTGTGCTTTGCAAACTCACCCGAACGTTACCATTATCGGGGAAGAGGTATTATTTCTAGGACATTTTCTGCTTGAGGATAAGATCTTTGGCAATAGTTTCTCCAGATTCTTCGCCAAGCTTTCTTGATAAATTTAAAGTTGATTGGAGCATTTCTTTTTGCAGGTTGCTGCCAAGAAGGAGACGCTTAAAAACGTTACAGACTACATCGTCGATGTCATTTGCAAACGTGCTGAACTTGGTTACAACTATGGTGTTATTCTCATACCCGAAGGTCTTATTGATTTCATTCCCGAGGTACTTTTCATCTTCAGCTGACCTATTCTCATTATCATTCCATCATCAGAACATCTAATCCTATGCTCTTTGTTAACATCTGCGTATATCTACGACTTGACTGATATATTTGTCCACTTTTATGTGATTCCAGGTCCAGCAGCTTATTGCCGAACTAAATGAAATTCTGGCACATGATATCGTTGATGAGAACGGAATATGGAAAAAGAAACTTACCGAACAGTCTCTTAAGCTTTTTGAGTTCTTGCCTCCAGCAATTCAAGAACAATTGATGCTTGAAAGAGATCCTCATGGAAATGTTCAGGTATTCACTTTGTAACGATCTTCCCTACTGATCGTTGCTTACCGAAGTATCGTTGGCTTTCAATGTTAATTTGTCCGTCTTTGTTACCATTAGGTCGCCAAAATCGAAACAGAGAAAATGCTCATTCAAATGGTTGAAACGGAATTGGAGAAGAGGAAGCAAGAAGGTTCTTATAAAGGGCATTTTAAAGGACAGTCACACTTTTTCGGGTACATACTGCTATATCTGTAAAGGCCATAGAGTGACACCATCTTTCCTTATCCAATTAATAATTTGCAGATACGAAGGAAGATGTGGTTTGCCAACCAACTTTGATGCCTCATACTGCTATGCATTGGGCTATGCTGCTGGAGCTCTCCTCCACAGTGGAAAAACCGGGTTGATATCATCGGTTCGTTTTCCTCCTCCCTCAGCCTTCTTGCCATCTCTCGAACACTTATCCTCTTGTACTCCATTCACGTTGATGTTGTTTATTGGACAATGCTTTTAAACTTATGAGTTAATTATACTTTCATAATGTACACAGGTAGGAAATTTGGCAGCTCCGGTTGATGAATGGACGGTTGGAGGGACTGCACTTACATCTTTAATGGATGTTGAGAGGAGGCACGGTATAGTTTCTTCACCTTATCACATCAAGCAACCACCTTATATAACTTTCATTTCTTATTTTGTCAACGGTATGCTAGTGAAGAACACTCTTAGAATGCGCCTGACATCCTCATATCTTGGCTTAGTGATCCACACAATGTACTCATATGGCATATGCACCATATGTTTTGGTCAAAACATGCGATTAGTCCTTGTACCATGAAAAAAAAGGAGAGATTTAGCTATCTAATTAATAAGTTAATAGCTTATATTTTGGTCAAAGTATGCTATCAGTCCATGTACTTCATTAGGCATTGCAATGTTTATGCAGGTAAATTCAAGCCTGTTATCAAGAAGGCAATGGTGGAGCTTGATGGTAAGATATTCTTCCGTTTTTGTTAGACCAACTTAAAGCCAAGCCACAAGGTGATAACGGTTCGGATCGATTTTTCCAAAAAAAAGAAAAGAAATTATGGTTATCGTTTTTCAGAGATTGAATTGAAGCAGACCGAACTGAACTGGATCTTACCATTTCAGATTGGTTAGTAAATTTAGTTTGTTGTAACGATCATGCAGGTGCACCATTCAAGAAATTTGCTTCCACGAGGGAGGATTGGGCTCTGAATAACCGCTATATTAGTCCCGGTTAGTCATAATTTCTATATACGTTGACATTTTTTGGGTTAAATCTGGTTATGATATATCTTTTTTATTTGTCCAAGAACTTCCTGTGTCCAGTAACTATATAGGTTCTGATTAGATTTGGAGTTGAATCGAGTCATGTCGGATCTTAAACGGGGGATAAAGTTCTGATTTTTTATCAATAAACCTTGAACTCGAGATTTTACTTAAAAAATATTGAATTGTTTATCACTCATATCGGACTCTTGACCTCTCAACTTGGATGGATTTGGAGTGCAGGTCCTATTCAATTTGTTGGAGCAGCTTCCGATGCTGTTAACCACACTCTTCTCCTGGAACTTGGTGCTCAATCTTAGAATGATATTGATTAGAAGTTGCTGCTTCCACAAGAGCCGGGAGCCAAACTTACTGAAGCTTGTTTTGCTTGTGAAGCACGTTACTTTTTCTTCATGAATTGTCATTTATTTTTGGAGGAGATATGTGGACTTTGAAGCAATTATGTGGTGCATTTCCATTTGTTTTGACAATGCAATATTTGAAAGGAACGTTTTTCAAATAAGTCAATTTTATTCGAATCAGGGTTTAATCAAGAACGTGATACGAGACTCTAGATATTGAATTGTCCCCCACTACTCCTCTTTAAAACATATCGTACCATACATTAGCTTCCGCCTACGAGCCCAAAGGTGAGGGGATACCTATTATCTTTATATGAATTCTTTTAATCAACTTATAGCACACTCTATAAATACAATTATTATAATCTAAAATTTTTATGAAAAGTGACATTTTTTTTAATTATTGGAGCTACTTGTTGGTTCTATATGAATGTTTATATTCAAGTGATTTACATAATTTAAAATTAAATTTAAATAATTTATAAATTGTATATATATCCGATGTGTTATTATAGACGATTTTCTCTAAAATTCTCTTTTTTTCACTTTATTTCCCTGTCAGACACCCTTTCATATTTATTTTCCGATCTAACATTTAAAAAATCGAGTACTAATTTTGTAAATATTTTTAAAATGTGTCAAATATGTAATTAATTTCTGTTAGTATAATATTTTTGTAAAAGCGTCAACTTTATTTATTTATTTTTTGTGTGTGAAAAAATTCTACATTAAAATTTTTAAATATTTTTTGCAAATTATTTTATAACTTGAATTTTTTTTTGCATGAAATTACACTATACGCATAATATAGTATAGGAAAACTTTGAGTGTAAGTAATTTAAAATATGAATAATTTTATAAAAGTTTTATAACTAGTATATCAAAATACACAAAATGATTAAGATGCAGTGATGAAGATAAGAAAGCAAATGTTAAAGAATAAGTTGTTTAAATCAAATTCCATTAAAATTTGTTACTTTCAACATGTTGCACACACCTCATACGTTACTGCTCATTTATCATCTCGAAGAGGTCTGTGGTAGTAATTTATATTTCCTATATACATCTTTTATTTCCAAGCTTATTTCTTCCTCAATTGTAATTAAAAATGAAAAAAAAAATATTATTAATTATTGTTAAAAAATAATAATTAATGAATAATAATTCATTTGATCCCTCAATTGTAATTAAAAGTTTATTTTCATATATTTTTTTATTTTTTTAAAGAATTAAATTTAAAAGTAAATAATTTTTTTCAAAAATATATGAAATTTATAATTTTTTAAATTATAATATATTTCTTATCATCATCATCATTTTGTAAAAGAAATACTAGTTATAAAACATTTATAAAATTATACATATTTTAAATTACTTACACTCAAAGTTTTCCTACACTAGATTATATGTATTGTGTAATTTCATAAAAAAAAAATTTGTCGAGATATAAAATAATTTGTCAAATAATATTTAAAGATTTTAATGCAAATTTTTTTATCCGCACACAAAAAAAATAATTGAATAAAGTTGACGTTTTTACACAAATATCACTCTAATATAAATTAATTATATATTTGACATCATTTTAAAAATATTTACGAAATTAACAATCGATTTTTACACGTTTAATAAGATGCGGTGAATGGGCTGCATTTTTTAACACGTGGCATAAGACGCGGTACATCTATCGAGCCTTCCTGTAAAGGGTATTAGATTGAAAAATACAGATGAAAGAATGTATGAGATGAAAATAAAGCGGGGAAGGGTGATTTTGGGGAAAATCGCCTTTATATGAACCAATTAGAAAGTTATTTTATGTTTGTTTTATTTCTTATGAATTGATTATTTTGATAATAAAGGTGATTTGATGCCAACTTGGCAACTTCCTTTCTTGACTGTATAATCACGTTGATAATAGGGTGGGCCTTTGAAACCACTCAGGGTTGATAACTTTTTCCAACTTAGAATTTGTATTTTATCATTAAATTTAAAAATATTATAAAATGGTAATTAAATTATTATAATAAAATTATTATGTTTTATTAATAAAGTGTTAGATTTATCAAATTTTAATATTTAATATAAATTTACAGTGATTATTTTTTAAAAAAAATTACTGAATTTAAAAAATATTTTATAATTTATAAAAATTTAAATATAATTATATGATTTCAGCTGTAATTTATCCTTTATATATGGAAAACTCTCCTCTTGGTATTAGCATTTAGCTGTGTTTGTTTTATTCTGTCAAATATCAACTTCTTATCATGCAGCTGTTGATGGAAATGACGTAAAGTGAATAACAATAATAAAGCTTTAACTCAGCACCACCACCATAGCTTCTCGCTACATCAAACAGCCAGTCCACTGACGTTTCTCTTCATCCTTTTCTCTTTGCTTTTATTGATTCTTACGCTGTTTGTAGACGGATTCCTCTTGTCCATATCCACCTCCAGTTTTAACCCTAAACCCTAACTGGGACTCCAATGATTGCTGCCATGAACCCTAACCCTAACCCTAACACTCTACTCTTCGATGGCGACAGTTTGCAATTTACAAATGAAAAGGCCTTTATCATCCTACTTATTTATCAATTGCCCCGATTGAATTCATTCCGGTTTTAAAATTTTATCTGTGTTTAGATAAATTTTAAGTTTGGAATATTTTACTTTCTGTTTATGTCATTTTAAATTTATGAATCGCCTCAGAAGATTTGAATTATGAGAATTGTATTTATTTGATGTGTTATCTTAATTAAAAAATGAAATTTAACCTATAATCATTTTATGCTATTAAAAAAATATTTTCAAATTTGTGTTATTAACTTTTCAGGAATTAAATGAAATCCATATCGGATACGTCTTCTTAAAACAGGTAGTTGGACAAAAAAATTAATTTAAAAAATAAATCAAATGATATTTCAGTAAGAAAAACTGTCTAATTGTTAGATAAAAAAAAAGAAAAATTAGGTTAGGCATCGGGAGACAAATTGTTTTGAAGTTGATTGAAGCCGTATCCTATGGATCGGTGCCTATGTGCCCTACCAAAGATGATTTTGTTCTTCACTAATCTATTCTCACCTTGTCTCATGTCTTCTCTCTCTCATTCTCTGGGTATATATGTATTTTTGTTAATGGAAGTGATAATTTAATTAAATTGTATCATTTTTATATCAAATATATATCATATTTTTTTCATTTAATTTATTTATTCATCAACAGTTGTATTCATTTTAGTTTCTATACATTTATATTTTAATATGTTATTAATATATTATTAGTAAATTGCAAGATGTTACTTGCTAACAATTATATTTATTTTTAATCATTTTTAAAATTATTCTTAAACTTAGTAATAATAAATTAACTTTTATTATTTTTCAATTATTTTAAATAAATCATATAAATAATTTTATTTGTTAAAAAAAAGAAATGTTAATTGCATCGAAACATGTGGAATTGAACCCTAATCATATATTGTTAAGGAGCACCATATGTTATCTCAGGATTAATAATTATATGAATTTTAGATCTAATAAAGTAATAAAAATAAAATATTAATTTAACTCATAAATTTCAGATAAAATTTATTAATTAATAATATAAATGGTAAGTAAGGTGTAGGGTTTGAACTTTGAAGCTGAAGACCCTACTAAGATAAACACAAATGCTTAAAATATCAAATGAGTATATCCCTAAACCAGTAGTGTATGAATGGAACTGAAGACCAACACATTATATTTGTCCCCCCCCCCCCCACTCCGCCCGATTTGATCGTTCCTCACTTTCTATATATATATTCCCTTCTCTCTCTTTTTTTTTTGCCAGTAATGGCAGCCATCGTCAGTGGCACTGGCAGAAACTGCAGCGAAAGAGGGGGAAAGAGTTATTCATTGGGAAGGTAAAAGCTCGTAGAATTTCTGCCACTGCTTTCTTGTCTCTATGTTATCTTTCTTTTTTTTCATCTGCAAATCCTACTGTTTCACAGCAAATTCTTTTGTTTCTTTCTTACAAAGAACAGCAAAAGGCAAAGCTCGACTCACTGAAAGTGTGTAAAAGATTCATGCATGCTGCTAATGAACAACTAGGAAAAGCCCCACGTTTATAATTGGCTGGCTGCCTTACGTTTTCCTCTAAAATGTCTGGTTTATTTGTAGCATAAATCTCGGGAGAGTTTTAGGGCAAAAAATAGATTGTGTTGGGAGTGGAGAACAACTAGGAAAAAAGAACAGAGAAGAAATGATAAGACAGTGAGAGAAATAATGAATGGAAGGTGGTTCCAATAGCACTTCTTGCATGATGGATTTTGGACGCAACAATACAAGTAATGGACTATGTCCAAAGTCGATGATGATTCCTCCCATGAATTCTTATCATCATCATCATTCTAATTTGGACTCAAACCCCTTATTTCTTACTGCCAGTGGCTCCTCTATGGTTCTCGACGATCACAACAACAACACAGCGTGTTGTTTCATGGAGTCGAGCAACGATGGCGGATCTGTCAAGGCCAAGATCATGGCTCATCCTCACTATCAACGTCTCCTGGCAGCCTATGTCAATTGTCAGAAGGTGACGAACAAACAAAACCATGCTGGTTTTACACATAAATGCCTAGTTTCTCATGTAGTGGTGGTGGTGTTTAAACTTGAGCAGGTAGGAGCGCCACCGGATGTGGTGGCGAGATTGGAAGAAGCATCCGCGGAGGCCACCGTGGGTGCTACCAGCAGCTGCAGCTTAGGTGAAGATCCAGCTCTTGATCAGTTCATGGAAGCTTATTGTGAGATGTTGGCTAAGTACGAGCAAGAGCTCTTGAAACCTTTAAAGGAAACCATGCTTTTTCTACAAAGGGTCGAGTGTCAATTCAAAGCCCTCACGGTTTCCTCTTCTAGTTCTGGTAAATAATATTTCTCCTGTTTAGGGTTTGATTAAACTAGGGTTAATAGAGTGAAAAGCTTGCATTCATAAGGGTTTGATCACCTTTTAATTTGTGATGTGTTTGAAAATTATATTCCTATGTTCATGAATCAAATACGAGTGTCGAACACTAATACTAAACCTAGGCTATAGATGCTTGTCTTGATTAATTAACATGTCACCATAATCTGGTTTGAGTTGATTCGGAGACATTCATCTTAGTTGCTTACTAATTTATCATGTATTCAGCTTGTGGTGAAGCTTTTAGCAGGAACGGATCATCGGAGGAAGATGTTGATGCGAGCAATGATTTCATCGATCCCCTCGTGGAAGATCGAGAACTTAAAGGCCAGCTTTTGCGGAAGTACAGCGGATATTTAGGCAGCTTGAAGCAGGAATTTATGAAGAGGAGGAAGAAAGGGAAGCTGCCTAAGGAAGCCAGGCAACAGTTGCTGGATTGGTGGAGTAGACATTACAAATGGCCTTACCCTTCGGTACGTACACGTTGCACAACATATTTCCATATCGTAAATCTTTAAAGAATCTGTTTAATCATATCCGTGTGTTGTGAAACCGAACACGCCGGCGGAAACAGGAGTCACAAAAGCTTGCCCTAGCAGAGTCGACCGGTCTGGATCAGAAGCAAATCAACAACTGGTTCATTAACCAAAGGAAACGGCACTGGAAGCCGTCCGAAGATATGCAGTTTGTGGTAATGGACGGTACCCATCCACACTATTTCATGGATAATGTTCTGGGAAATCCTTTCCCCATGGATCTTTCGTCTGCATTTCTCTGAAGAATTGATGGAATCATATATGGGATATAATTTCTGCTAAGCTGCAATGAAAGCAGAACTGCATATTATAAATGCAAGCTATCGTAGTTAATGTGATGGGAGAAACATATTTGTACCATGTTATTATATGCAGCAGGTATGCAGTTTTTTTATGTAGATTATTATCAGAATTTGTATTTTTCTTCTAAGAAAGAAATGTAACGCCGGTTTAGGGATCCGGTACTGCTAGATTCTGGATATTCTGGTCTATAAGACACGACTTTCCAAGCTATTGTATTGTTCTTCATGAAGATGGTTGCTAGTCTCCGATTACTGAGGCATGTTATAGGTGGCCTCCCTCCACCGTCGTATGTTGAGATGCGGCCTCCCTCCACTGTAGCATGTCCGATTACCGTCTGTTGATAATACCTTAACGCTATCAACACAATGCTCTAACATGTACGTTTCTTGAATTGGAGAAAGATTATTATTATCTTTATTAAGATGCAAAACGGTACATTGTCCAACACACCTATATATTTGCACTGTAAACTACAAACTCAAAAGAGAAAATGTGAGATATACATTATCGCAAGGCATTAATTTCTAGCTCGGAGTCCCAACCAGAAATTAAAATGGCAGGTCCCCCCCTGTTTCATGATCCAGTGTCTTGTACTCAAATCCCGGTTCCTCGCTTGGTCGCCTCTTGACAACGCTTGCCCTTTGCATTAGCCTCACTAATGCTTGCACGACCTCCGACATGGGAGGACAAAACTCGGGTTCTGGCTGCATATAAACAAACAAAAGAAGTATACGGTATGTCATATAATTGTATTCTTTTTTGTTTGAAGCTTCTTTTCTTTAACCCTTCTCGTATTATTTATTGGCTTGATCCAAATTGTCCCAATGCATTAGTAAGTTCCCTTTACCTGAACACACAGAGCAATGATGTCAGCGAAACGCGACAGTGATTTTGCAGGATACATCCATTGAGGGTAGGATCAACCATTTTCGCAAGAGCGTCGATATCATGCAGTTGGGGAGTGGCCCATCTTACAAGTGATTGCTCCGATCTCACTCTTGAACTAAACATTAAGCGATGCCGGTTATACCGAAACAAATTTTTACTAGGACAAATAAGCAAAGAACTGTAACAATGCTGGCTAGACAATATGTTTTACCTGTCAAGTGGTTTCCCACCAGTCAGCAGCTCCAACATCACCACTCCAAAACTGTACACATCGCTCTTTACTGTATATATCCCTGATAAATCAAACTAGGGAGCACTATAACCAAATGAACCAATCACTTGTGTCGAAACCTGCCCCAAACGGAACCAAACAGAAAAATATCTAGCATAAAACTCTCCATCACGGACACCAATGACTCATCGTCCTAAGAAAACATTACCTGTCGCTCGGTATTTGGTGTAAGAGCGGCTAAACCGCAGTCGGACAAGTGAGGATTGAGTTCTTCATCAAATAAGATATTTGCTGACTTGAAATTTCTATGTGCAACTGAAGGCAAGCACACTTCGTTCAAGTACCTGAAACAATAGCTTCATCAAAAACGAACATACGCAGATGAAGGGAGGGATAGACTAAAAATTATCGTACACATAAAAACATACCCTAAAGCACGGGCAGTGCCAAGCGCCACTCTGCCACGTGCATCCAGCTTAATGTCTTGCTGCAGTCATCAGAAAAGTGTAGCATATCGTGAAGACTACCGTTCCCAACATATTCATATACCAGAAGACGCTGTCCATGCTCGGTGCAGTATCCAGCCAATGTAACAATATTGGGATGTCTCAAGCGTGACATATTGAAGACGGCTTCCAGAAAATTATCTTCCTCTGTAATGATAATGCAGCATTGTCTATTTTTTTAATAGCCATTGTCTACACCAAACAACATAAAAGGAATGGTGAAAAACGATGCATTACTGGGAAAATTTCAATTTTTTATACTTATTACGGTGCAGCTACCTTTCCATTTGAAAATTCCGCCTTGTAAACACGACCTAGGGAACCTTCACCGATAAGGTATTCTTGACTAACACTATTAGTTGCTGTTTGCAAAGCAGCGACGGTATATGATGTGGCAGTTATGGGAGACTTCTTTCTGTTTAGTGATCTGTTTTTGGAAATCCTATCGACCGTCACTTTTTCGGCTGGTGGTGGTTTCAAATCTATAACAGCAGCAACATTGTTGACCATTTGCTCTTGCATCTCGGCTTGTCCTGCAAAAAACGAAGCAGAATATCGGTCTGGCATTGTTAGGATGCTAAAAAGTTTTTCAGTGAAGCTTTATGCAATCCAAAGGTGTGACCAAAAGGTAAATTTCAAAGCAATTTACTGCTCGGATGATGTAATTATGAAGAAGAAAACCTACCGTCATTGGAGCCACCTGAAAGACTTCCCCTTGAAGCTCTTGCGCCACTCGCCTTTCTTTTACTTTTACGGATGCAGAAAACAACAGCAAGTAGTGCCAGGGCAACTACCAACAAAGAACCAAGAGCTACGCCTACTATTTGTCCAGCTGATGGTCCATTATCCGACTCAAATAGCTGAGAATCAGAAGCGGGGGACCTACGAGCACCTGATCCGGTATTATGCCTATTACGAGATCTACCGGGTGGAGGCGGACTAAATGGAGGTGCCGGAGGAGCAGGTCCATTGTCAAAGGAGTTGCCATCATATATGTTTCATATTTTTATAACAAAAGTCAATACATTTTGCATACACTGAACATCAAAAAGTTAAACCGGCATCAACAATGGATCGAGCCTTACATAAAAGTTGGGAGTGAAAGTAGTTCTTGAGGAATCCATCAGGTGAAATGGTTCTTCGTGTTGTGAAATTCGGGTTAATTTCCACCAATAACAGATTCACCTTGAAAACTATTATCTAGGTGACTAGTGTGAAAACGATTGTACTAAAAATCACCCCAAGGTAGATTCCCAGGAAAGAGGAGGGGTCACAATGGTCCCTCTTAAAACCCACTTTCCTTAGACAGAACTACCAAGACAAGTAATTTTAATAGGACAATAATTGACAACAACTATACCCGACAATAGCTATTAAATAGACATAAAAGAGAACACCAAAATATTTCACTAATAGAGGAAATATTACAAAGAGAGAAAGAATACAAATAGCCTTTAAAATAGAAGAATGATTATATTTGTGGGATGATTAACTAAGGAGGAGGAGGGCTTTATTTATAACAAAAGAATTTCCCCTCCTCCTTATACACAACCAATGTGGGACTTTTGCCAAAAACCAACAAATCTCCACCTTGGCAAATTCCACACACATCTCTAAAAACAATCTTTTAATTTGTAACAATATTGACCAAATCTAAACAATGTTTAAACTTGACCGCAGTTACCACTTTTGTCAACATATCAGCAGGATTCTCAGTGGTCCAAATCTTCTGGATTATGACTCCACCTTCTTCTAGAATCTCTCGTACAAAGTGATATCGAACATCGATGTGCTTCGTCCTTGCATGGTAAACCTGGTTCTTTGCTAAATGAATAGCACTCTGACTGTCACAGTGCACTTTGATGTGCTTTTGTTCCATTCCCAATTCACCAAGCAACCCTTGAAGCCAAATTGCCTCCTTCACAGCCTCTGTAACTGCCATATACTCTGCCTCTGTAGTAGACAAAGTCACTGTTGACTGTAAGGTGGACTTCCAACTGACTGGTGCCTTTGCAAATGTAAACACATAACCAGTAGTTGATCGACGCTTGTCCAAATCACCTGCATAGTCTGAATCACAATACCCAACTACACACTGACCATCTTGTTTGTCCTGCTGAAAGACCAAACCAACATCTACGGTGTTCAGAATATACCGTAGAATCCATTTCACAGCTTGCCAATGCTCCTTTCCAGGATCATGCATATACCTGCTCACAACCCCAATTGCCTGTGAAATATCGGGTCTCGTACACACCATTGCATACATCAAGCTACCAACAGCACTTGCATACGGAACCTTTGACATGTATTCCCGTTCTACATCATCCTTAGGTGACATGGATGCACCGAGCTTGAAATGAGGAGCAAGAGGTGTACTAACTGGTTTTGACATCTCATTTATGCCAAAACGTTTTAGTACCTTCCTCAGATATTCTTTCTGAGACAAACAAAGCCTCCCCAATTTCTTATCCCTTGATATCTCCATGCCTAGAATCTTCTTCGCTTCACCAAGATCCTTCATCTCAAACTCCCTGTTCAATTGAGTCTTTAGTTTCGCAATTTCTGTCTGACTCCTAGAAGCTATCAGCATATCATCAACATAAAGAAGAAGATATATATAGGATCCGTCTTCTAGCTCGCGTAAATACACACAATGATCATATTTGCTTCTTGTGTACTTCTGCCCTATCATAAACTTGTCAAATCGCTTGTACCACTGCCTTGGAGATTGCTTCAATCCGTACAACGATTTTTCTAATTTGCACACCATCTCTTCTTTTTCAGCAACTTTGAATCCATCTGGATGAGTCATGTAGATTTCCTCATCCAAGTCTCCATGTAAAAATGCAGTTTTTACATCCATCTGAACTAGTTCCAAATCCAACTGCGCTACCAAAGCCAACAAAATTCTGATGGAGGAATGTTTTACAACTGGAGAAAATACTTCATTATAATCAACTCCCTTCGTTTGAGCGTAGCCTTTAGCCACCAATCTTGCTTTGTAGCGGATGTTATTCTTGTCAGGAAATCCATCTTTCTTTGCATATACCCACTTGCACCCAATTGCCTTCTTTCCCTTCGGAAGACTAGCTAGTTTCCACGTCTTATTCTTTTGAAGAGATTGCATTTCTTCATTCATGGCAATCCTCCACTTTTTATGTTCTGAACTTTGAACTGCTTTATTAAAAGTGGCAGGAACGTCATCAATTGCAATTGGTGATGCAAAAGAGACCATATCAGCATAACGAGCAGGTTGTCTAATGGTCATCTTTCCCTTTCTGAGTGCAATTGATTCATGTTGCTGTGGAGGTTCTTGGGT